GTCACAAATTTTATAAGTAAGCGAAAACAGTGTCTTGAACTGTGAAAAAGAATTTCAAAATCAAATCCACATGTCACATACCAAAATAGACCCCTATTCAATCCCAGACACTCCACTGGGAAATATTGTAGTCTCCTAAATAGTTATGCCCCCTACTGTTATGTAATTAGTAATCACTTTATTGTTTCCTACTTCTAAGCCAACCCAATTTCCTGTTCCTGGAAGTATTGCGATGGTGTCCACTTACATTTGAAGGGCAGTGTACTTTATTATTCTCCTGTTCCGGTACCGGGTTTGAGGTAGTCCAGACTCTGTGGCCCGAATTCACAAAGCAAAGTTTGAGCTCAACCTTGGTCTGAGCTCAAACCTTGCTTTGTGAATTCGGGCCCGTCTGTTTAAGAAATAACTTTTCTTTACCGTAATCAATCATCTTTTCCCCTTCCCTAATACATGTGTACATCACATGCATCCCACTAATCTGTCTCTGTCTAAGCATTGAAGGTGTGTTATTCTCTCAGCGGATTGGAAAGTGTCCAGGCAGTATACATACATTACATGTACATGTACATGTACTGTAGGTTTGGTGCTACATGTATGGGATGCTGGGGTTGCCTAGCACCCCTAACACTGTAAAATCAGAAACTTATATGTGAATGGTCAAGGACGACCATTCTTACGGCAAGAAACTTGTTCTCAATGTACCCAAAGCGTCAGTTGTAATCCATTTATTATGCAGCAAATAAATTTCTTGTATCTGAACTGCAGGGGAAAATTTTTGAAAATTTCATACACTGTGTCCACTCTGCAATGTACAAAAGTTTCTGGTTATGAGTGAGGAAAGGGCTTTTATTTTGTACACTTTACATACCTGTACATATATTGTTTATGATCAAGAGTAACTCCTTGGTAAAATCATATTTTTCAACTGCTCTTTAAAAGTGCATTTCAAGTATATTTAACATTTGTAAGACTGCTTTTTCCAATCATTCCATCAGAAATTCAGGATGATCATAGACAGAGTGGATAAAAGTTGACTTGTTTATGTAGTTGTTTATCAAGGTTTGCTCAGAATTTCCCAGATTCGTCTTGTGCAACCCTCTTGTTTGCTCTTGGTAAATCTCCATTGTGTACTGGCTCATTGACTCCATGATGTTATTCTGGTATGTCTGTATCCTTCAGTTCAGGGCTATCATCAGATCTACGCAGTCATGTACTGGTAACAAAATGGATGAATCACTGATCAGTGATCACTCTCTGCATACAGAATTACAGATCATATGACGATTAAAAAAAGAAGGATTTATTTGGGTTTATAGGACTGCATCTATATGTAGGAACTACATATTTTTTCCGGTACACAGGTACCTGACTACAGTACCTGTAAGAATCAAGCCCTGATATTGCACCCCAAAAAAGTTTTACATGACACCACTTACATGTACCTCCCTCTCGTTTGTCCATTTTCTACATGGTAATAATGTTACATGTATTAAACTCATAAACAAGAAATACTTGTAGTTGAACAATCAAACAAAGAGAGAGAGAGAGAGAACATTATCATACAAAGCTACATAAGTTACAAACAGAAAGGACAATTACAACAAATTAGAAAAGATGTGTTTTGATACACCTTTTGAAAGCTGTGAGAGTATGGCAATTTTTTAGTACAGGGGGTAAAGAGTTCTAGGAGTTAGAGACAACTGAAAAAGGCCTATCACTTTAAAGTTTGGCAGTTGTCTCTGAATTGGATGTATAAACTTAAATGCAAGTGGTTGCAGTACACACACAACAAATAGAACTTCTTGATATACACGTACAGGTACATCTACATGTACATACATGTTGGCCTACAAGTGTGAATGCAACGCTAAATTTGGCTACATGGTGATTCAGACGGTAGGAATTTAAATCCTCTTATGTCATCCCTTTCCATGCCATACATGTAGGTGGTAAATCCTTGCCCCAGAATTTGAATGTTGAACAGTGCATAAATCAGGGCATATTTTGTTTATATTGAAACATAAACTGAAACATTTATGATAAATTTATGTTTTCTAAATAAATATGATATATCACTGATTCCAGTTGCTACTAAAATGATAGGCTCAATTTTTAACAAGTTGAATCAAGCTACAGTATGTGGCAGAAAATTGGTAGAAAAGAATATTTAGATAATGAATGTAAATGATAGTTATCATAATATTTATTTAATTTTAATTGTAACTTGTAATTTCAAATTGTATACCGGTACGTAAACATGTACTGTACATATACATGTACATGTAAATAATCAATAAAAGGATGTCAAGTCGCATAAAAGCCCCACATTACTCACAGTTTGTTTCATTGTCTACATTTTGTATATTAATCTGAATCAAAATAAAAGCTTGAAGGTAGTAACAATCTAACAACTTTTTTTTTTCTTTTTTTTTGACACCAAGTACAAGTAAGTAACTTGTCAATTAGTTCAAGGTTGACAGAAAATCTGTGCAAATCTGTACCACTGTACTGTGCGTGTATGATATACTGTACATACTGTACAATGGCCTGTGCTGATCCATTGAATGCGTAGACATCCATGGCCGCTCGTCTAAATCCCTTTTTTGTATTTTGAGGTCACAAAGTCCAGACATTCTTTATATATATGCAAGCTTCAAAGATGATAATAACATCACATGCATTGTACAATATACAGCTGCTGAGACAAACAATGAAGGAGAGAGAGGGGGGGGGGGGTGTAGAATGAAGACAGGCAGGTGTTCGTATTTGTGCTCCTTGGAGAGTCTTGCTGGTTACCGCTACATGTACTTACATTTGCATTCATGTACTGATTATGACAATAATAATAATATGTCTTGTTTACCCAGGGTAGCCTTATCAATATTACTGTAATGTTGTTCTCCTTGAGGGCCCTGCAATTATATTATTACCCTGGCTTTACATTAGCTATTTACACTGCAAGCAAAAATCAGTGATTTTTCTCACATTCAAAATGGAACGTTTTTTCTGTAGAAAATAGAAAGTGGAAAGGTAGAGAAAGAATGCACTTTAAATCCTGCTCCAAGGGGTCATTGTCATTGACTTGTGAAATTACCCACTATCAAGGAATCGGGGTCAAACTGTCACACAGATGAGATTTGTGAGTATGTTTGTTTGGTATTCCTAGTTTGGTGATTTGTTCAACAGAATGTACATTTTACCAAGAAATCAGGATGTTTGTGAACTACATGTAGGTATGTGTTGTATTTGATTGAATTGCGCTGGTCTTAGGAGAATCCTGATTTCAAAATTGTTGGTGCTAATGTAGGCCTACTGTATTAGCAGCTGTATTGTGGATGCGATGTAAATTTCTTTTATATATACTGTACATGTACCTTGTACAATGCCCCCCCCCCCCCCCCCCACTCAGTGTTATTTAGGGTACGCATATGCTCGTACCCTTTTTTTGAAAGCACCCCCTATCTGAGGACTGCCAACATTTCCGAACCCCCATTTCGCGGGCTTTTTGCGTGCTTTTCCTGCCTTGGAGACCCCCCTAAATCAGGAAAAATGCTCAATGTACCCCCCTTAATTCAGAATAATTTCTCAGGAGTCCAAAGAGATGAGAGAAAAAAAGAAAAACACCCCCTTTTTAAAGAAATCTCCGGGTGAAAAGTCAAATACACCCCTTTTTTTTACAATTCTCGGGCCGGACTTTGTCGCACGAAAAGTACCCCTTTACCGGACATTTTGGCAACACGCATGCGGTCATTCCGACCTCTGAGTGGGGGGCCGGGGTACAATGTAGTCTCACACTACAAGAATTCTTAGACCATGTCATGCTTCATGTAAAAAATTTCCCACATGACTTCTTGAATGGTAACTTGTCAGATTTTTATTTTGACAACTCTGAACAGAAACTCTCTCTCACTCGCTAGACATGACATGACATTTACCAAAACCTGTATGTATTTTGAATCACTGAGTACAAATTGTAGGCCTTTCTATACTACCGGTACAGAAGTTAGTAATAATATGGTTTGGTCGTTGTGCAATACAATAGGCCTACAGGTACATGTACAAACTGTACATTACATGATACATGTATGTAATGCAATGTCCACTGACCAAGTTGCTAATTTGAGATTCGCAACTAGGATTTAGTGATCTCATATCTCTAACATTCATAATTCCATACATGTAGGCCTGATTAATTCAAACTTTCACCTTTCTATTTATAAGATTTTTCTGCTTCTAGATACCAATGAAGTTATTATCCTTTTAAACTGTCCTCTCATTTGTTATTTCCCCCCTCAGTTGCCTTGTGACAAAAACACAGTACCGGTACATACAGTACATGTACATGTACATCATTGAGGGTAGTCAGCCCCTAAAGCTCCTTTCACATATATGACAAGATAAACCAAATATTAAAAGAAAATGGTCAAGGCAAACAAGATTTCAAGATTTCAAATTTAATTCATGCTTCCAACAAAACATTACAAATCAATTATAAGCATTTAAAACAAATTTAAGAAATACATGTTGAAAACAGAGGGGTCCACTAAAAAGCAATGCTTGTACAAGTGTGAACACCTCAAATGAAACTTAGGAATAATGAGTAATTAAATTAACTAATCTGTAACTACAAAAGGAACTTCAAAATAGGGGAAAGAAGGGACAAGACAATACTCTTCACGACAAAATATTTGTTTAAAAAAAAAAACATATACATGTAAGTGTACAGAATTTCAAAGCACACCTTGCATACAATTTTTTTTTTTTTGTTGCCATATTGTGTGTGACTTGTTGTGTGGCTGTTTACCTCATTACATTAAGAGGCTTAATTTAAGTCTTTTTAAGACCAACTCTGACTCAATTTTGTACATCATATACTGTATGATATAAATCTATGCTCTCTGATGTACATGTAGGCCTACAAGTTTATTTGTTTAGTTGTAATTTCAAACAGCCATGACAGACATACTAATGAAAGCTTTCCTTTTTCTTTTATATTCTAGGAAACAATTTTCAAGGAAACGAAGGAGATTCTTAAAGGCACTATGGAGCAGGAACACAAAATGATGTGCAATTTACTCCTAACACAAAATGGAAGAACTTCTAGCAGACTTTATGCACTTGTGAGCATATTTCTATGTTTCGTCATCTTTTTACATCACCCAAACAGTGTGGATGGGACATTAGAGACATACGCACCTGTCGAGTTCATTAGCAAAGCAGAAGATCCAAAATTTGCCAATTTAGCTGTGGATGAAAGAACTGGTGATATGTACATTGGAGCAGAAAACTCCTTATTTCACCTCCATTCAGACTTCAGTTTACAGGAAGAAGTAAATACTGCGCCTGATCCTGCAGAATGCCAGGATCCACAAACCCCCTGCAAGAACTACAACAGGATTCTTGCTGTTGTACCATCTCCCATAGAAAAGCTTATCACCTGTGGAAGCTTTTCACGCAGGTGTCAGTATCGTCAGCTCGTGAACATATCAGATTCTGTTGAGTATGAAAGAATAGTGATCAATGCAAAAACCCCGGCAGTGGCAGTTCTCCATGATGATTACATGTATGTTGGAGTTAGTCCTGAGTTCCCTGCTCCTGCTAATCATCCTACCTACGTCACCCAATTGCATCTGGATTCGCTATCTTTGCGGGAAAGGCTCAATAGTCAGCACGTTCGTGCAAGTCAGGCGGGGTTTTCATTAAACTTCGTCAATGGATTTGAATTTGAAGGGTTCACATATTTTGTCACCAATCAGCAGCAATTAATTGATGAGGATCCACCTGCAGATCACGATTACATATCAAAGATTAACAGAGTTTGCCAAGACGGCGACAGCTTTGATTCATTTACAGAAGTTCAGCTAACATGTTCTTTAGCCAATGGCAGAACCTACAACCTCATTCAGGCCATTGAAGTTTCTATCCCTGGGAATGATCTTGGTGAATCTTTCAATAGCAGTGATCCTCTTCTCTATGCTGTTTTTGCTGAGTCTTCTGAGTTCACAGATGAAGCTGCTGATCCTGCTCACTCTGCGCTATGTATCTACAAGATGTCTGAGTTACTTGCAAAGTTTAAAACTGCAGTGGAAGATTGTACAAGTAAAGGAGAGGTTGAGGTCCATGGAATACGCCATTTACAATCCAGATGCAACAATATTGTAAGCGAAAGTACTTTGTTTATCGATGTTCCCTGATCATTCTGAAGTACTGTAGTTAGGATTTCATTTTATGTACAGTTCATTTTAGTATCTTTGGAATCCTACCTATATTTGCATCAACAACAAAAAACAAACAAACTTTTTTCTCATAAATAGGGTAAAAATCAATTTTTCACATGTTCCCTTTTTCTGGTTTGCATGGCAGATAGTCCTAAAGTGTAAAGATTTTTAAATGTTATGTTTTTGGGTTGTCCGTTCTCATGAATGGGTTATCTCAAGAACCAATTGATGGATTCCCTCCAAACTTGGGTCATGTATGTAACCCTGTAAACGATCATCGGATCAGCCGCCGATACCGATCCGATCAGGGGTGATCGGATAATAATTTCTGATCGGCGATCAATTAAAATGATCGGAAAAAAATTGGCAGAATTTTTTTTTTTTTTTTTTTTTTTTTTTTTAATGAAGAAAATTTTCAAGTTTTTGGCTTATCAAATGCTCAAAAAAATTCATGGCTGGGATTATTTTGTCATTTGGAGTTGTTGTAGACCATGTTTGATGATATTTAGTGCCTTTTCATGACTTTGAAATTGATAATGTTGGTCTAAGAGCAGAGGCAAAACATGCGGGCCGCCATCTTGGATTATAATGTAGGTATTTTTTTTTTTTTAATGACGAAAATTTTCAAGTTTTTGGCTATCAAATGCTCAAAAAAAATTCATGGCTGGGATTATTTTGTCATTTAGAGTTGTTGTAGACCATGTTTGTTGATATTTAGTGCCTTTTCATGACTTTGAAATTAATAATATTGGTCTGAGCAGAGGCAAAACATGCGGGCCGCCATCTTGGATTATAATGCATACCTACATTATAATCCAAGATCCAATCGCATGTTTTGCCTCTGCTCTTAGACCAACATTATCAATTTCAAAGTCATGAAAAGGCACTAAATATCATCAAACATGGTCTACAACAACTCCAAATGACAAAATAATCCCAGCCATGAATTTTTTTAAAGCATTTGATAGCCAAAAACTTGAAAATTTTCTTCATTAAAAAATTATAAAAAAAAAAAAAAATCAGCCTATTTTTTTTTGTCGATCTTCTGATCCGATACCGATCAAAGGTGCGAGGGTGTCGCTCCGATCTTCCGATCCGATCAGAGCCCCAACTTACAGGGTTACATGTATGTATCTTAGGGCGCGTTCATGCTTGATTTTGAAGGCAGAATGAGCGATTTGTAACGCTCATCGTAAACGCTCATCGTAATCGCAGTTCCACGGTGCACTGTTCATGCTCACTTCTCCAGGCAATTCTCCTTGGGTGGCCTTCAGCTGGATTCGCAAACCTGTGTGCGCATGCTACGTAGACCCACTAGAGGTCAGTGCGTTGACCCCATTTAAACGCGTTTACAAATTGTAAACGCATCTTTTTGTGAGTTTACGATCGGCGATCATGATCACCGTTTTTCGGTGATTCTACAAAAGTGAGCATGAACGCAAGCGTGTTTTAAACTAAACGCGTAACAGATGCCTGATTCTGGCCGTCAAAATCAAGCATGAACGCGCCCTTACAGAGCCAATGAACTGAATAGATCTTGGAGAGTCGAGGTCTAAGTTCTAAGGTCACAGGGCAGTCAGGGCTCATTGTGTACGGTATGCATTATGCAAAAATAGCTTGTTTTCACATTATTTCAAGAACCGATTGATGGATTACCACCAAACTTGGGTCATGTACATGTATGTATCTTGCAAAGCCAATGAACTGATTAGATTTTGGGGTCATGAGGTCAAAGGTCCTGGGGCTTATTATGTATGCAAAAATAGCTTGTGAATGCATTATCAATCGAAACGATGGATGGATTACTTTTAAACTCAGAATCTGTACAACTGTATGTATCTTGCATAGCTAATTTACAGTCATTAGGTCAAAGATCAAAGGGTCATACATATAGCTTGTAATCACGATATTCTGAGAATCTGTGAAGGGATTACAATCAAACTTGAATTTAAAATTGCTTCTGTTTTGGTATGTTAAATTGCTGATGGCGGAGGCATCATTAATTTAGTTGAGCATGCTTTCTTGGTTCATTTTGAGTGCATAATAGTGCAGTACTACAAGAAAGAAGTAACATGAGCTGGATTATATGGCTTGTAAAAGTGTACTGTACTAATAATTTAAATATTATTTCTTTAGAAAAAATTCGTAAGATTTAATACCAGAATTAGGCTATGAATAAAAGCGAAAGCAATTTATCATAAAATTTGTGAAATATTTGGCACACTTGACATTCATCTCTGAGAAAACTTCCATGCTTACGGTAGACGTTTGTCTTATTTTTTTGTTTAGTCCATACAGGCTCTTAGTCGTTAACCATGTTTATATCTAATTCTCTTTTCACACTTGTTTTGCTTAACCCCGTACTTTGCTTAGCCCCGTACTATCCTTAACCCCGGACTATCTTTTTTGGCTTTTCTCACTGCAATTCCTTAGCCCCGTACTAGCCATGGCCATGGAATTCATTAATTCGCTTCACTGCGTAGTCCCGGACTATTTTTCGTTTCTGTTCTCATTCATTTGCTTGGCATCGCAATTGCGGAGTTAGCAGGAGTTAGCACCACAATTGCGAGGTTAGCCCTGCTATTTTGCAGGGTTACTTAACCCCGTACTATAGGTGGGGTTAGCCCACTTTGGTAAATACGAGTCTGAACAGAAAGTGGAATAGGCTTAACCCCGTACTATAGGTAGGGCTAAGACCCCCCTTTAACCCCACCTATAGTACGGGGTTAAGCAAATTTTTGCCAGTGTGAAAAGAAAGTGGAATAAGCTTAACCCCGGACTATAGGTAGGGCTAAAACCCTCCCTTTAACCCCACCTATAGTACGGGGTTAAGCAACATTTTGCCAGTGTGAAAAGAAAGTGGAATAAGCTTAACCCTGGACTATAGGTAGGGCTAAGTCTCCCTTTAACCCCACCTATAGTACGGGGTTAAGCAAAATTTTGCCAGTGTGAAAACAGTATTATAGTATCTGAATGTTGATTTTATATTTTCCAATACATCAGTTTGCATGTGTCTTTGATTGGTCTCTCATACTGTCATTTATTAAGGCTCCACTGGACATTGACCTGTGTAACGTGGTATGGGCCAAGTATGCCAGGGGAACCGAGCCACTTCAAGCTGAAGCTCTTATCCCATTTGATGAGGTACTTGCCACTTCGATCAGAACAGTGACTGTAGAAAACGAGACAGTGGCCCTCATAGGTACAAGCACTGGAAATCTTCTTAAGGTAGGTTTTTTTTTCTTCTTCATTTTAAAATTTATTTCATTTAGATATCGTCTTGTACATGTAGCTGGCAAAAGGGTGCAACCATTGCAATGCTTTGGACTTCAAAAATTTGCTACTTTTACCGGGTATATATACAAATAAGATATTTACCATTCAATATCACTCTTCTTCTAGTCAATAAAGAGAGAAATCCCAGTCATGTTTGAAAATTGCATAAAATGCATAGAGCAATAAAAACCATAGAAGCAAGTTTCTTGAAGTTTGCTTTAATGAGATGCACGCTTGCTTACACCTATTTTCAGCCACACAACATTTTTATGCCATTGAGAGACAAATTGAATAAATTTGGGGTAAAAGAAGTATAGCCTTTTTGTTCTCATTGGGATATTCCAAAATAATTTAAGGCACGATCTTTAACTGAATTAAGGCAGAGGTATATTGGAGATGCAGTCGCGTTTGCTTTCTTAATTTTTTACACGATGCAAATGCTAGCAAGCAGCAATGTCAAGTGGTTTAACCGCTCATTTTTGTATTATCAAATTTTTACATGTTTTAGTTCTTGCGCAAGAAAATGTTTTTAAAGATTTAAGTTCATTTCAAGTCAATAGGGAGAGGATAGAAAGTAAACGACAGTACAAGTAGTGCTAGAAAATAGTAGGCTGGCACCTACATTTATTATCATGGGTTATATTAAAGGTAAAGACCAGTTATGGTCATGCGATTGCATTGTGAAAGAAACGTTGTGGAATCGATCAGAAAATGTTGATCATCTAGCATCTAGCATCTAGCATCTGCAAGGTTCTGGAATCATCAAAATGATAAGAAATTTGGCCCATTCTTCGTAAAGTTACAAGCACTATACACAGAAAGATGTATATGGGACTACCCTATATCTCTCACAGACCATGAGAGAAACAAATTTACCAAATATATGAATTAGTAGGCGGTTTCACAGCAAATTTGTTATCATCATGTATTAGTCAAAACATATTCTTGCACATGATTGGTAATGAGAGCTTCCATTTCATTTTTTGAAATTGGGGCGTTTCCAATACTGGTCTTTACCTTTAAAGTAGTAGTGTAGTTAAAGGGGATGTCCATCCTGATCTTAAGTTGGTTTTAATAGAAGCAGGAAAATGAGATGAACAGGTCAGTGAAAGTTTTAGCAAAATATGTTACAAAATAAGTTAGTATTGAATTTTTAAAGAGTAAACAGTGAAACACAACATTGGCAACACTGATGTATCTTGCGAGGTCCTCTCCTATTTGCTTTGTACAGAAATTTCATATCATTTCATTTTCGAAGTTATTGATGACTAAATTTTACAATGATGCAAACATAATATGTTTCATATTTGTATATCTTGAGTGAGTATGTGTACGTAGGAGTATGTGTACGCAGGAGTATGTGTACGCAGCTACTTTCATTTTAATGCCTACTTGCATTTCATATACATAATTATAAAGATAAGATTTAAAAAACCAGAGAATAATTTTCCTCAAATTTTTTTGATTAGCAATTTCAGCTGATGGATAAATATTTCAAATGAAATTCTGTACATTTCTATGGAAGAAAACTGCTACACAAAAGATATTATGTATAGCAGTCATGCAAAAATGCATAGCAAATTTCGATGCGATACCAGGAAAATTATTCCCTGAAAACTGCCACCGTTTTTCACGTCATGCATGAACAAGCCATTAGTTAAAAAATCTTTGCATTCATTTTTTATTTGCACCTTGTATAGTGATATACCTTTCTCTTGTTTAAAGGTTCACATCAGTGATGCAACCCATGCTAGGATGTATGAAGACGTGAAAGTAGGAGATACCAGAGTGCAGCAGGATACCTACTTCAATGCCACTGATGATCATCTTTATCTCCTCACAGAACAAAAGGTACATGTAAAGGGGATTAGATTTGATTGGATTTGATTTGGCATGGTTTATTCAATACGAATCTTTGCATTAAAAACGGAATTGTGTGTTTTATTTATTTTTTTAAAATTAGATACCGGTAGTACTACTAAAAATACATCTAAATGAAAAATGTGAATAGTACAATGACAAAAAAGTCAACATACTTTTGAACTGATGTAGATAATATTAGTAGACAAGTTGAAATGCAGGTGTCTTTTTGTCTACCAAATGATGATGTGCAATTGTGCATATGCATAATATAGCTACATTTTGTATGGTTTTATTTTGTTATTGGGAATCATCCTGAGCCAATTCTATTTATTGATGTCTTCATTCTTTTTTCCACTATTTTTAAATTCCTCAGTCCTTCACATCCTTGTAATATTTCTTGCACCAAAGGGGATTCCCGATGAATTTGAATAGTATATACACTGTAGGTCCACCATAAAGCTGCACATTTTGTCTGTTGAGAGTTAAGAGCCAGAAGGGCATTACCTTGAATACTCTAATATAGAATTAACACCCTTCAGACTTTTAGCAGATGATTTATCAAAGATTTGACATCAAATGATTGAACAATGGCCAATTTTATAAGCTATAATTGACAGGATGTACATCTACATGTGATTGCAGTGTATCGATGCAGTGACTGAACTTCTTAATCAGTTATTGACCAAGTACTTTCCTTTTCCTTTTATTTTGTATAGCTTGTACGTTTGTCTGTGGTAAACTGCAGTCAGTACACAACCTGTGAGGGGTGCATTGGAGATAATGGAGGGCAAGATGGGGACCCATACTGTGGATGGTGCACATTGGAAGCAAGGTAACTATGTTGCTCATTCCATGCTAGTTATTCGTCGACCAAATAAGAGTTAACTTTGATATTTTAACATTTTGACATGGCCTTGAATTGTTATTAGTCTTCACATATATTAAGAAAATGTCAATTAATTTTTTTTATCTTATCATTTTTTTCTCAATGATCGATATTTAGTGTACAGGAAAATAAAATTAATGTTCATTTTCAATAAGAATAATGAGAATTCCATTTGTACCATAGTCTGAATAACCATAATACCATTAATATACATTATTAAAGTAGAGGAGTAGTTGCATAGGAATAAGTATTTTATTGAAAAGATGGTACATTTATTATTTTTTGAAATACACTTCAAAGGATATTAATGTCTTCTCTTTCTTTCTTTGCTTTCTCCGGCCACCTTTTTCTTTGTCTCTCTCTCTCTCTCTCTCTCTCTCTCTCTTTTTCTCTCTCTCGCTCTCCCAGGTGTACACGTTACCAGGAATGTGAGAAAAAGGAGGTGCCCACCCGATGGCTACCCTTTGATTCAGAGCAGTGTATCGACATCTCAGACACATCTTTGGGCTTTAGTGTCCCTAAGTCCACCCCGTCAAAACAGGTCAGTGAATTTATTGTGATTAAATCTTGAATTAGCTGTCATTTAACACGTAGCAGTTCAGAGTTTTAGAAAGGTTTTAATGAATCAGCATTTCCTCCTCAAATTAGCTCAAAATTATTCATATTTTCCTCTCTTTCATAGATTTGAAAATATATATGTATAATGATTGATACCTTGTGTAGGAAAATCACCAACAAAAATCAAGGAATCAATTTGTAAATAAATATAATGATCATAAATTTCACTCTGCATTGCTAATTTAGAGTCTTCAATTGATACTTTTGATTAAATTACTCTTATTCATGAATGGCACAGTGTCCTGCAACAGAAATTGGCCCATATTTTCCAATGATTTTTGCTTTCTGCTCATATACAGTGTATATACAATTTGTAATTGTAGAGCATTCTGGATTGAAAGATAAAAATAAAGCATCACTTAACTGCTATGGGTTAAACCGAGACCCCCTTCTCATTGTATTGCCCCTCTTACTTCAAACTTATATTTGATTAGGATGTGAATCATGGTCAAATGAAGGGACTTATTTGTGCTTCGGTCTCCAAAGTTCAACTTGTGTTAAAATAGTTTGAATAAGCTTGGATGGGTGTTCTATTCTGTTTTGCATGCTAGAGGTTGTATTCTTGTTGATGTATATCTTCTCATGTGTGTGTCTATATGAAGAGTAATGAAGTCACTAGTGTAATTCATGTTACTGCTTCAAGTGACAGCATTTTCAATTTCTTGTGAGAAAAGGAAACTTTTAGTTCCAACTGTATGCTATTTTGAAAAATTACCCATTCTATGACATAATCTCCACTGAAACAAATATTAATTATTCATTGGAACTCACAAGAATACATGTAGTTGTACAACTTCTTGAGTGATCCCAGCTGCAATTTCTGTGAATAATATTTTTATAAAGATACTGGTACTGCATTGAATCTAAATGGACGTGTAACAGTTGGATTAATTGATAGCTGTATATAGGTATTATGCACTATTCTTGTGCACTCATGCAGTAGAATGGCTTCCATACTTGACTATGTTTGATAATAATACAAAACAATGGCCACCTCAAAAGCATTCATCAATTTTAACTACTTTTGGTTCTCTTTACATGGACTGTACGGAACAGGAACAACTCAGTCCATGTTGCACTTTCTTATAGTGAATGGCTGTACTATGATGTGAATAGGAATACAGCCTTTTGGGAAAATATTTTAGTTTCAAGTCTATTATGTTTGTACAGATGAGGCGATTAAAATGTTTGTGCACATCTTTCTGACAGACTTACTACATTGTAGATCTACATGTATGTGTTGGCTTCCAAACATTTATCTCAGCCATTCTTTATCACATGTGCAGTCGTGCGCAATTCTTGTAGTGCGGTACGTAGCAGACAGGTGTTCCTTTTGTTCCTTTTGGTTGTTAATATGGAACTGTTTTCATGTGGTGCTGATTTAATGAATGAAAGAGAGGGGCTGGGAATAGATTAATGGTGATGAAATCATGCCCTATGAACATATATATAAATCACAATACTATAGTCAGGGTTTGACACTAACAGGCACCCAAAATCCAAAACTGGACCCCCAAATTTTGATTTGATTTTTTTTACTTCGGGCTCATGCATACAGACTGTAAAAAGCTCAATCCGGATCCCCTTCCAAAAACGTTTAAGTGGAGCCCTACCACAATACATGTACTAACTAAATTAGTCTGACCTTGCTTGTGAATGAAGTAGTAAACCCCTCATTGTTTATATATTGAGTTTGACTTTTGGCTAAAAATGGTGCTCTGAATGAGAAATCACAATAGATGTTGTGGATAACCAGAGCGTGTCAGACACAATAAGTATCAGTCACGATAGGTATCAGTTAACATGTATATATCCCAGACAAGTCTTTTCTTTCCTAATCCTGTCTGTTCCTAAAAATGACAAAAGCTGCCAATTCGTGAATGAAAAGGACCCTGAACTGTGAAAAAGTGTGCGCAGGCTTCCATTGTTGCGAAAGGCTTATTGTACTGTACTACTGCTGATACCATGTCCTCTCGTGTAGCTAGGCCTTCATTGGTTCTGCATGGATTTCTAAATATATATGCGAATGAAAAGAGAGTTAGTGCAGGGACAAAAGTACAAATCGACAGAGTTTAAGATACACTAACTGCCTTGAAACAGAGAGGAATGAAAATAAGAAAGACAGAATCTTCAGTTGTGTCATATTATAGCATGCACATGCACATGTAGGTCGCAGCTTGATGCAAGTCTGTGAGCATCAGGAAGAAAAAGAATTTAAAGGGATTGGGTATCTTTGTCTCAGATTCTCAAACAAAATCCTGGAATTAGCTCATGCTGCAATGATAATTATATACCTTTAGGTCAGTCAGGAACCCCATGACTTTTACAAGCCGATTGCCTGTCTGATTATCAAAAATATTTATGATTGGAAATCAAAATCAAATTATGCGTTTTTCATAACACTTTTCATAACACTACAGTCTATTGGGGAAAACGAGTATGGTAAAACCGGTCACTTATAGATTTTTTACTTTTTTGAGGCACTTCTTGATATTTTGAAGCGCAATTTTTTTAGGGCTTCAATATTACACCTTATCAAAGACACTGATAACATGTAGGGCCGTGTATCTCAGATTTAAAATTGATAAACGTTGCCTTTAAAAGTTAAAAAAAAAAGAAAAAAGTGTCATTTGTGGAAGTGAACAGCCCGACTGCCTCCATCGTCTCAGAAGTACACGTCTCAGAAGTACACCTCTGAGATGATGTGATGTGTAGCATGAATTGATCTACACTTCTTATGCATCCTTCCACTAGACTGCATGTATATCCCTGGCAACCAACAATACATTGGAATGCATCACTGCAACACAGAGCAATCCGTTGTGACAAGCAGATGAAACATGTTGAGGCAAGACATGTAAAATGAATTGGTAATGAGCAGAATGACTGAATGCATGACACACTGTCTCTGCGCAGTGGTCATATATTATGTAGGAACTGAATGTACCTAATAGTGTGTACACACAAATGTGCTTCATCAGATTTATATTGTTGACTTCAGACCTAGGATGTATATGTTAAATAGAATTTGCAAGAGACACGTACCACAGAACACATTACTTGCCTCACCTACAATGTCATGAGTATGACAATAATTGTAAGCATGCAATCATGCATGTACAGTAACTGCATACATTTGTAATGCATGTACAGTATATTGTATAGTAATATGCAACTTTAGAAGTAAAAAGACTTAATGTATGAAGGTCGAAACATGAAGGCCTATATTATGAGGTTTTGGAATCATCAAAATGATAAGAAATTGGCCCAGTCTTGCAGTCACATGCACTGTAACCAGAAATATGTAGATAGAACCACACAAACATGTGGCATGAAAGTGTCGTCCACAACCTGTAGCTCTTAATTGTCATATTTTGAATACTCAGGCATTTAGAGCCATCCTTTTTAGTGGACACCTCTTCTATGATGTATAATTGTTCACACTTAAAAGAATGAAAAAGCTCACAAATTATTCATTCACCTTTCCCAGAACCCAACCCTCTCTGAGCTATAGACCATTCATAAATGTATAATTTTGATGCTGGTACTACTACAACTGTGTATTGTACATGTATGTGTGACTCTTTGGGTATGTTTATGCTCAACTTTTCTGGCCAGAATCAGGCACCTGTTACGCCTTTAGTTCAAACTACAGTTGCGTCCTTTCTCATTTTTGTAGAATCACCAAAAAACGGCAATCACGATCGCTGATCGTAAACTCACAAAAAGGTGCGTTTACGATTTGTTAACGCGTTTAAATGGAGTCAACACACTGACCTCTAGTGGGTCTACGCATGGACCATGGTCTATGTAGCATGCGCAGTGCAGGTTTGCGAATCCAGCTGCAAGGCCAATTAAGGCCACCCAGGGAAAATTGCCTGGAGGAGCCAGAGAAGTGAGCATAAACAGTACACCATGGAACTGCGATTACGATGAGCGTTTACGATGAGCATTACAAATCGCTCATTCTGCCTTCAAAATTTAAGCTTAAACTCACCCTTTGTCAACCTAAAATAAATGTTTCAAGGCTGTTGGTTTATGAGGAAGATGAAGGTTGCCATTTATCTCTGTTTATTACATTTTGTGGTCATGGACTGGCAGAACGCATTTCCACAAAGTTCATGACCTTGGCCAATCCTGTTGTGTAAAGTACATGTTGACGATCAAACAATTCTATTGAGATTTAAAGAAATGCATACACACTGTAGTCCACATGCAAATCACGTGTTCATGTTTCCTGAACAATAATGTGAAAACAGAGCATACTTACTGCATGGCAAGAGTGAAAGATTGTTGTTAATGTATTAATCATGAGGAGCTGTGGTAACTGTATGATTGTTGTTAATGTATTAATCATGAGGAGCTGTGGTAACTGTATGAGATCTGCTATTTTGTCACAAAACACTGAATTACACTAAAACTTAAAGGAACATCTCTCAGCCAGTTATTTAAATCAATTGATGTTGGTGGTTAGAATTATTTGATTTTCTTGACCTCTTTATCACATGCATGTGGTTTATTTCTCTTGAATATGTAGTGTTGCTGGTGCACTGTTGCATTTAATAGCTACCGTATTTGCCGGCGTAAAGGCCGCAGTATTTTTAGAACAGAAAATATCAAAAAGTCGGGGTGCGGCCTATGCGGCGAAAGAGTAAAAAAAAAATTTAAAAGTAAGTAAAAACCAACACGAATTTGCACATATGGGACTTGATCTACGAACGGTACAATAACTATACATTTCCACACATCTTACCGACAATTTTATCTTGCATTGTTGACATGAAGACGAAAATAAACACTCAAAAACAACATCTGCCGATAGATCTTGATCTAAGTTCGTGCCAATGCATTGCAAAATTAAAAGAAGGGCCCGTTTAACGGAGCTGCCGCGAAGCATCTAGCACGCGAAGTCGCTATTTTGAATCCATTTCAATACACAAGAGAGAGGCGCAGTGTATAGATCACAGAAAACTCCATTGCTAGCATCAGTGCGGGATGGCCGAGCGGTCTAAGGCGGTGATTTTAGTCACATCAACATTTCTACGCAAGAGATCAAATCTCGACTTCGACAACTATTTATTTTTTTTTTTTTAATATCAAAATCGAGGGTGTGGCCTATACGGCGCTGCGGCCTAATCGCCGGCAAATACGGTACATGTAGCAAACTCTGTGAATGGTAGTGTTAGTGTTGAGTATTATAGGTTAGATATTGTGCAATACAGGAAGTTTAAGAGCTCGTTCAGATGTGACTCGATAAACCGCCGCAAAAAAAACCCCACACTTTTTAATGTGTAAAATGAATGGTAATTGCACAAAACAAAGGACTGAGCTCTGTTTTATCAGATAGAAAAATGTTAAGCATTAGAATTTGTTGGTTTTCTTATGAACATTGCTACCTACCGTTTTTTTTTCCTGTGTTTAATTATATGTAGGCCGACAAGTTTTTATAAATTTGCAAGTGTTTAGCAAAATGTGCCATGGGGTTTGAAGAAGGATATCCCATGTACATGTACTTGTATTCTTACAATATTAACTTAACATGAACACCTACATGTAGGTACATGACGCTGGGGAAGTAAGATAAGGGAACTGTGAGGGTGTTGAAGGAAGACTTCAATAAATTAGAAGATGTGGTAAGATGAGAACCCAGGCAACCCGTGTTGTCATGTCCTGGTAACTTCATTATCATCTTAGAATCTAGCAACGGTCTTCTGTCACTAGAACAACCAGATGTTTGTCTCAAGGAAAAATCATTAATGAGCCCCAGAAAAGTAAAATGTCAACTGCGGGTAATTGAATAGCCTGTGGAGTGTCTGCCCTGAATAGCCAGTGTTATTATTGGCCATCTCCTCTCGGAGTCGGGCAAATGCGAATGCCTCTCGTGCGTTTCCTTCTACCGCAAAGGCCTGCTCATTATGAAGAGATAGATACATGTGTGTACTTGTATCGATAATGGACTCGTAATGGCCAAGTTGTCTGATGATTGAAAACTATCGTGACAGCTAGAACTCTTGAACTTTGGCAGATATTGTCAAATGTCAGGCAAATTATTTCTTCCCCAGGTCACAAATTTGTCAGGATTGTGGTATTAACAATGCACATCTTCAAAAGTAGTGGCAGAGTACAAGTATAGCTATAAATATCATATCATATGATGGTTTTTAAGTGGTTTGGCGATCACTGTAACATGTGGTTAGGTCATATACTGCAATTTGATAGTGCACAGGAGTATAAAGTAGACTGTCATATCATTGATACAAGAGAAATAACAGGAAACCGGTGTTATGAGAACAGTCAATTACTCCTGGCGAACAAATGCTTTTCACACTTTTGGTGACCTGTAGTGATCACTGGGATATCTGGTTCTGCTATTGTTGGGATGTTATCAAAATCAGAAGCTACTACTTGTAATCTTGAAATGTGGTAGTATGCAATATGTTGTAGTGATACAGGTATACGTATATATCACTAAAACTCAGTAATAGTAATATAGTATGCTTCTATCAGTGATTAAATACACATTAGCAGTCAGTGATATACATTGTACTACAGGAAAGCTCTGAAAATAATCTTACTAAGCGAATTAAGTTATAACACAAGGTAGAAAGTAGTTAGTATAAAAAGCAAGTATACAGTTTTAATATGGCTCTTGTAAACAAAGTACTTGTTTACACTGGCTTTTATCATATATCTGATGGACTAACATATTTGCTCGTTCAACATTTGTATTACAATAGCACACTTGTAGAATATTCCCTCTGTTCCCTCTGTCGTGGAAATGTAAGAAGACAAGTTTAGCCTACCTATACAGTAAAGATTTCATTAAAGAATCAACCCTCTTTTGTGTGCTCTTGGAATAAATTGAAGCATAAAATATCATCCAAATTTGTTTTTCTTTCTCTAGATTGTCATCTCTGTTAGTCAGCTACCACCCCTCTCCCAGGGCAGTGGTTATGAATGTCGCTTTAATGAGTACACATCCAGAGTTACAGACATAGATGGTAATCAGATCACATGCCAAACCCCTCCTCAAGATATTATCCCTGAGATTGAATCTGGACAATGTAAGTATCTGCACATCTTCTTTGTTTTATTTTGATGTTTATCCTTGATATATTTTGATCAACCTTACTGATGTATAGGTGGAACATTACACATTAGAGTAATTGTTTAATTTTATGATAAGACAACTTCTGTCTGCATTTGGGGAAATGTAATTTTGACGGAGACACAATGATCACATCTTTTTTCTGTCATCTAAAGTCTTTTTTTTTTTTTACAGAGTAGGCTCCTTGTCTATACAGCATCGGGAGCATATTTCTCCCTTGCTGTGTGTACTTTATGAATTATAGATGCCTTGTATCTATAGATGTGCATACTATGTCATTACGTACATGTACAGTAGGCTGTGGAACAGTACTAGGATTTTATGAAAAGAAAGAACCTACTTGCTTCTTTATCTTCTTCTTTTTTGTTAATGTGTACATTGTTGGTATATGAGGAATCACATTTTTACTAAATTAAAATTCATGCCATAGCATTTGCATGCAGTTTACCATAATAATAGATACAATTCATAGCCTTGATAAATCCTCAGAAATATTCATTACCGTATTTGCCGGCGTAAAGGCCGTAGTATTTTTGGAAAAGAAAATATCAAAAAGTCGGGGTTCGGCCTATGCGATGAAAAGTAAGTCAAAACCAGCACGAATTTGCACATATGGGACTAGATCTACAAACGGTACAATAACTATACATTTCCACACATCTTACCGACAATTTTATCTTGCATTGTTGACATGAAGACGAAAAATAAACTTCCAAAAACAACATCTGCCGATAGATCTTGATCTAAGTTCGTGCCAATGCATTGCAAAAGTAAAAAAAGGGCCCGTTTAACAGAGCACGCAAAGTCGCTATTTTGAATCCTTTTCAATACACAAGAGAGAGGCCAATGTATACATCACAAAAAACTGCATAAGCTAGCATCAGTGCGGGATGGCCGAGCGGTCTAAGGCGGTGATTTTAGTCAAATCAACATTTATACGCAATAGATCAAATCCCGACTTCGACAATTTTTTTTTTTTTTTTTAAATGTCAGAATCGGAGGTGCGGCCTATACAGCGCTGCGGCCTTATCGCCGGCTAATACAGTAGGCTAAAATTGATACTTAAAAGAAACATTAGCCACTTGTTTATTTATCACAATGCTCTAACAACCTATGAAGTACATATAAGTATTTGTTGTAAGTGTGATATTTCCTGTTCGATATCCCATGAAGTAAATATGAATTTGTTGTAAGTGTGGTATTTCCTGTTCTGTGAGAAATTGTTTTCTTTTTTTACCAGAACTCAAGTTTATCTTTAATGCCCCTCTGACACTACCTGATTGAGTGCTGTAAGAGGGGATAGAGAAATATACAGAAATATATATATATACCAGTATACATTTTATTTATATTTCCCAGGGCAGACCCCCTGTCATTCCTAAATGATGTGCATCACATACCAAGTTCAGAGTCAGGGGGAAAGCCTCAAGGCTCAACCATAGACAAGAGCTTGAGATCAAATTCTCAAGTACCCTACCACTTGTAAACTGAATTAGAAGCATCCATAAGTGTATCCTGAATGAACTTGTAATTCTTCATGTCTATGACATGTAGACACTTAAATGTGAAATTGAGTTTGTGGTAATAATGGAAAGTGAATTCTCACTGGATCAAACAAACTTTTATTTCAACAGATATTTTCTAAACGATTTTGATTAAAGATACTTCATCAATGAGTTATGAGCAACAAAGATAGAATATTGATGTACAACATGTAGTCTTCCAAACTCATACACTGTAGGCCTGTACATACCATTGTCTGGAGCCAGGAGGGCATTAATTGCGCTTTTATGAGTTAATGCCCTTCTGGCAATGAACAAACAAGATGTGGCCTTCTATTTGCAAAATTTTCTGCAAGTTTTTGTCTTCTTTTACTTATGATTTACTTGTCTAAACCTAGTACTTGATGATGACCAAGTGAGAGTTACTTTGAACCCGTTTCTGTCTAAATGGAATTCCATTATCACAACTCAAGATTCATTTTAATGTCTTCGTTCCCCTCAATTGGCCTTTCATATAATTTTTCTACCGTTTATTTCTGCCTGCCTGGCCTGGGCTTGTATTGATTGCAGCTGCTGTAACAGTTGCCTTGAGCATCTACTCCAATGAGACCAGAGTAGTCTTTGTCAAGAAGGACTTCAATTTCTATGATTGCTCTCTCATTTCAAGGTGAGGATTATTTATATTTTTCTCTCTCTATTATTATCATTGTTATTATTATTATTATTATTATCATCATCATTATTGTTATATAGTTTGTCTTTAAATGAGACGGTGTCAACACATGTTCAGAAAATAAAGCAAAATTTTGATCATTAGAGGTGAAAGAATTTGAAATTCCCAGTTATTTGTGATAAGATAAAGAGGGGATATCAGATTTGGCATGGGTTTTTGTTTTGTTTCACCAGAAGAATACTTCCTTTTCGAAACTAAACACAGATGAATTATGTGTGGTATTATACTGGTGGTTCTTTACAACAGTAGTTGTCCGAGCTGTCTTATGACATGCTCAAATGTAGCTGACTCTTTTACTACTCTCACTCATTTCTCGCCTTTTATCTTTTTGTTTCACCATTTGATATAATTTTAAAACATATCTTTTGTTCTCCCTTTCTTCCACTATGATCTCAAGAATGTGTTTTTTTTTATTCTTCATTTTAAACCAACATCCATTTTAAGGCTACAGTTCCACATGGTGCCACATGTATTCAAATTCAATCATTACTTCTGGTATTGATTTGTGTCGTTCATTAATGAAAATTGGCTGTGTGGGATTCCTCTTATTACCCTGCATCTTTTTTTATTTGGTAAAAATTCAATATCTTGTATAATTCAAGTAGCAATTATGGTGCCTGCATACATGTACAAATGATTGAAATATTTTCAGCAACCTTGACTTGTTTTTCAACTGCCTTGAATTTTCATTCATTACTCTACCTCAACATTAGAGGAATTCATGTAGACGGTTGGATAATCAAATTTAGTTTGAGGGATATAGAAATATAATATATGGCAGTTCCTTTCAATACTGTGAGAAGTGTCTCCATTTTCAATAGCATAAAAGTAGCACAGGACTTGCATGTTTTCTTGTCATAAGGAAGGAAAACGTATCAAACAAATAATTAACAAACTTGTGGTTTGCACTATTGCAAGAGGAAGGAATAAAAAAAACAAAGTATTTGTGAGGAGAATGCTTTAGGCATATTTGATACCTTAATATCAAATTTCAATGCCTGTTTGAATATTTTCTTTACATTGAACATTTATTTCTCAAAAAAAAAAAAATCAGTATATTTAAATATAAATGGACGAATACCTTTTTTATACGAGAGTGTTCAAGTTTACTCACATAACAAAATGAAGATACATTTATGCAAAATTTTCCAGAATTGGTTTTTGTTCTCCATATCCAAATCATTTGCTTAAATCTTTGCCCTGTCCCATGGAATGAAGTCCTTGTTTTATGAGTCTAGATTCTGGGGGGAAAGGGGTGGGGGACTTCTATTTGGAGAAACCAAGTTTTATACATACATGTACATTTAGCTGTGGAGCAAAATGATAATATGCATACTGCTTATTCAGGAACCTCAATACTGCAAAAGAAACTTTTTTCCAAATTGTGGTTGGAATTCAAAATTGTTACAAAAATATATCTTTCATTTTTTTTTTTTATCTATTTCCCATCTGTGGCAAAAAACTTAGGGCTAGACATGATTTCTGTAACATATTCCTCTTCCAAAAGGAAGGAAATTATTTCAAACCCAAACTCACCATTTGTTGTCTACTGCACCCTTTAAAGAAAATTCAAGTTTTGTCAGACGGAAGGAATTGGTAAAAAATCTTGGAAGAGGGAAAATTAATTAACCATTACCCATGTGTTTGAATTAACTGTCTGTACTTGTTAATCAACATCAGATTTTCAGAACACCGCAAATATCCTTCCTCTTGGCACATCGAAATCACTTGATCACATTCATCATTCTTCAATCATATTAAAACAAAGTTTTGTGGTTGTTAGTGTTGGTCCTTAGAATAATAACACTTTAGGGGCTTCCTGGATTAAGGAATTCATACAAAAGAATGAAAGAGCATACTTCAAATTCAATTAATTTAGCTAATTTTTTTTTTTTTTTCGATCACAAAGCTCTGATACAAGTTTTATGTAGTTAGGCATACAGAAATGTAGTCATCAAATGACTTATTATGTGTTTACTCATTAGATACTAGAATGTGATGCAACATTTAATTTGTTCAGGAAAGATACGTTAAATTGAATATGCGAATGATGTAATTCTCAAAGAATTATTTTAATTCAGGGTTTCAGACGTCTCAGATGTTTGCACACTTTCGCACTTCCTTGTCATGCACTTCAATATTTCCTATTTACATGTATGTTCACATGGTCTTATTTAAAGCCAGAAGGTTGTTGAGTCTGTGTTGAAGGATACTAGACAATGCCCTTTTAGCTCTCAAGAGATTATATTTTATATTGTTTGTCCAAAGAGGTTACCTTCAAACTTCTGGAGGTATGATATTTGAGGAGGACATACTGATTGCAAGGTTATCCATCCATGTAAGGGTACGAAAATGACCAGTATCATTCTCTCCTTTCCAGCTGTTCTACATGCATGAACAGCTCCTGGGCCTGTGATTGGTGTATCTATGACAACAAGTGTACTCATGACCAAGGGACATGCCAGCAAGACGACGACGACACCATCATATCTTCAAATGATGTAAGTGGAAAAACACATTATTTGTCTTTTCTTGCATTTGTATCTCGAAGGCCCCCAGGATTAAGAAAAGTTTTTTTCTAATCATTTACTTTAATAAGATTATAAGTATTATATCTTTAAAAATGTGGCTCAGAAGAAGTCTGAATGTTTTGAAAAATTGTGACCAATTAAGTTCACAAATTTTCCTTTTTTTGCAAGAAAGTTGCAATTGATTGCAAGTTACGATTGCAACTGAACTTTCTTGCACCGCCCCACTAGTCTCCAAAATTTCCCAGGACTTTGTTAGTATTCATGTTTTAACAATTAAATTAAGTTAACTAGATCTAGCTTTTATTCCCCCCTCTCTGTTTGTTGTCTTTTAATGTGTCTCGTACACAGATTTCAATTTAATTCTACTCATAAATAAAAAGAATGAAAGTGATTAGTGTCTCCAGTCACAACCCACATGCTTTATATGGTAATTGAAACCTTATGGAGTGGTAAATAAGGCCACAGAACATAAAGCCACAAACACTTAAGCTACCTGATTGATGATGTAATAAATTTAGTTTCAGTTTTCATCTATTAAATCCTCATTGTTATGAACTGGTTGTGTGTTTATATTATAGTTGATTGATTGATGAATAGCATAAAATGCCATAAATGATTGCTTTCAGTTTTTGCTCTTGATAGAGTACTAGTAAATGTGTATCAGAGGGCTATTCATAATGATCTGTTTTGTTTCATGACAATTAATCTGAAAGTTATTTTGATTTACCTACTGAATCGATTAACTTTTTACTCACAATGAACGCAAAGAAGTTGTGACAAGGTTTCATGTTTGAGAACTCAACTACAAGTAAATTGCACTTGTTTAATTTGGTCAATGTTGTTAATTCATTAACCTTAATTTATAGCAGTCTCAGTTCTTAATAATTCATCACCCCCATAGTTATGAATTCGGGTTTGATCCCCATTAATGTTATAAGGTGTACATCACATTTTCTAAATTGACCATCTAAACTCATAATTTCAAAGCATTATCAAAGCAATATCAATTAAAAATAGGATTTGCAAAAAAAAATGACCTTCATGAAACATACGGGAGTAAACAAGGTTATTCCTCCTACATTATGAAATTGTAATTTTTATAAATTTACATTATTTAGCTGGGATTAAATATGTTGGTGAAATGCAATATAACATTAGAGAGCGTCAAAAACAGTACACACGTAAAATGAACATTGAATATATATGAAAAGACGCAATCCACTGATGTAATTGCCATTGAAAGCTTGACACATGTTGATAGATCATTGCATAGAGGTCCGATGCTGAAAGGTTGAAAGGGAGTTTAGAATGCATCATAACATGTACATGTATGCGTGTGTATAGTAGACTGTTCAGACTGTAAACAAATTGATATGAAACTCGTTGAAAGAAAGGTGTAAAGAATCCTTGTATAATGAAAGGGACATACAGTACTCTTAGATTACAATATCATATGAAGAAACTACTTTTGAAGAGGTCAGTTAACATGCTGGCCAATCACCAGTGCCCGTTCATGATAAGTCCCGCCCAGATTTGTGATTTTTGTAATATGAAACTAGAAGGTGACCCTGGTTCTTTATTGAAACGATAGACACAGTGCTCGAACGTGTGTTTCGCAATACAACGTTTTATTATACAATGTCCAGACTAAAGAAAAAGGTAACTACTTTAATAATATCGTATGAGCTGTACGATTCCCTTATAGCTATACGGTGTATTATGGTTGTCTGAATGGAGGGTGGGGTGCGAGTCTGAGGAGATATGAGGAGTGATGTGAAGTAGTGATGATCTCATTATCTAGTACATCTCCAGGGCATCTTTCCTCCTCGCCACAAATTTTATGGGTAATCAGTCTGCCTCGATCCAAGACAGCATAAATACATACTGTACATACACACATGCCCGCGCCCGCATGTGCACTACAGTGATCAAAGATTGAAATGTTCATAATACCCACCCCAAAAAATGCCCAGTTTAGGCATGAAATGCTTTAATTGTATCTATTCTTTTTTAATTTTTCTTCTAAAATGCATTTACTCGTGCCACATTTCATGAGAATGACATTTAAAAAAAAATAGATACAATGTATGGCGTGATAGAAGATGCAACACAACTCACTAGCTGCATGCATTGATTACAGGGCCTTCCATTCTCAAATCACTTGATGATTCATAAGGGCCTTTATTCAGTTCAGTGAATGTCTAATGAAGAGAGTTTAAGGAGTCATTTGGACTTCATATTCGTGCATGATATTTGGTAGGGGAGTTCCTGTACATAAACTGTACATATATCAACTTGTTATTTGACAGGTGTCTGCATTCTTCTGTTCTTAAGTACATGTATGTGTGTATGGTGGCATTGATTTGCGTCAGTTTACCTATATTGTCATTACATTTACATGTGTGTAGAAAAAGAATGTAGAAAAAGCATGTAGAAAATTGCCTCCTTAGAGTTTTAAATCAGATAAAATATGTATGTAATCCTACATAGTACATGTACTTGTAATATATCCTGCGCATATGTATGTACTGTAGGCTCACTTATGAGCATGAATTTTTCCAATACATTTATAAGCTAGAGGTTATCAACCAATGTCTTATGTTCATCACTACAGTGCATGTACATGTATGTATGAAACAAAACATGCCATGTAGCAAGAGCTGTCGAATCTCTCTTGAAAATGGTATTGACTGGACAGATGGCTTTTGACTGACTGAGGTGAACCCATGGTAACTGGCTCTCATCTCAAGCCACAAAGCATAATTGATAATCCCTTCATTTCAAGACTTGATGATAACACTTGGTGAGCACTAGCCAATCTACAGCCAAGAGATCGGCAATACAAGCACTATAAAGGAAGCCTTGTGATAAATGTAGATGCACACATTTTTATATATTTACATCTTCATTAGACAGCAAATCGTCAAGATGGATATACATTGTAGACTTTGGATTACACCTGTATGTCTAATTGTAGTAGGTGAATCCATCTTGTAATTGTGATGGATATGAAATGCTTATGATTGGCAGTTTATAATTTTGCATAAATTTGTAAGAGATAAATGAATACCGGGGTAATAATCTCCTAGTTTGGAAGCGCTAAGTGATCGTAATAAGCGCGATATAAAAGTATTATTATTATTATTATTATTATGTTGTCTATTCATGTACACATGTATGTAGTAGAATCCCTTTGCTAAAGGTCAGGTAAATTGCTTTGGCCTTGTAGAGTTTCTTTGATGTGAGAGCATAAGAGGAGGTATCGTTTGATTGCTGACCACTCTTTATTTATAATGCACTGTTTCAGTGCCCTAAATGATGACCTACATGTATATATGTACACTTGTACAGTCATTGCCTAAATTTAGGAAGGGGGGGGGGCATTTGTTGTAGTTAGTAAGAGATACATATGGTTAGATTTCTCTTACTAGTGTTAACTCCTTGCTAGCCCTTCATCGTGAAGTGGTTTACAATATAGGGAGTTTGATAATGGTCAACATATTCTCCTATTCATTTTTTCTTTCTTTGTGATAAAGATCAGACATGTTCAAATATCTATCAATATTGTTGATAAGATATGGGATGAAAGGTGGTACAAAATCAACATGTTCTACATATTAGGGGGAGGAGAAGACTCACTGTAGGCAAATAACAAACATGATACCCTACCACCTCCTCCTCGAAAAAGGCAAATGTGATTGATATGATTAATCGTGCAGACCTTTTGAGACGAGTCTCCAGTGATGCTCTGTCTGTCAAGCATAAACCATCCCAAGTGTTTGCCCACATACAAGACGCCCGCCCTAACCCGACCGACCGACCGAATATTTATGACTTCACAGAAAGAGGATGTAATGCATTTGCCTGTATTGTAAACCCACTGTGTGTATGTGTGTGTGTTGATAGTGCGCTGTATTTCACTCCGTTTGGAAGGAAAATGCATGGTCCTTTTTTTTTTTACTGGATGGGTGTGTTTGTGAGTGTATGCATGAAAGAGAGAGGGAGAGAGAGAGAAAGAGAGAGAGGGAAGAGAACGAGAGAGGGAGATGAAGAGAGAGAGAGAGAGTGGGAATGAACAAGAGAGGGAGAGAAAGAGAGAAGGGTAAGGAGAGAGGGGGAGGAAGAGAATAAGAGAGAGACCATGCGAGAGCGATGGCCATATGAAGGATTTCCATCTGTCATGAACAATTAATTACTAAGATTGGCACATTGTACTACATGTACCATACAGCATAAGTTTCTATTTGATCAAAGCAAGATTTAAAAGTACATGTATGAAGTTCTAACTTCTAAGCCATTTTGCATGAGTAGAAGTAGTAAAAAATAAAATTAAAAAAATAAAAAAACATGACAAAAATGGTCTATTACTAAAAATAAGATAATAACTTTCCGGTTTTCATACAGAAATACGTTCTGACTTTTTGCATACATGTAGTTGTTTCATTCACAATGCCAAGAATCAATTGTCTCTCTTTTGTACATTATGCGTGTATTTTGTATATTTTAAACAATCCCTTGACATTGCATTAGAAATTACCAATTCTATTATTTTTGTTTCTATATATGCATTTTCATGATTGGTTGATCATTAAATTCATGTTATTTTTTTTCTTTTTTCCTTTTGTCATATCAGGCCAATGCAATTGAGCAATGTCCTGCCATCATCGCTCCTGAGCCAAGTCTACTCCTTTCAGTAGGAATAGAGAAGAGCTTTCAATTTGCCGCCAGGAATCTTCCCTTTGATGCTACCAAGGTAAGCCAGAGATGTATTTAACAAAATGTATACATCTTCAGATGACAAAATTGAAGGTATACATTGGAAATGTGCATAGTGATTCAAAATTGACTTGCTTGTTTAAATATGGTAGGTTAATTTTTTTATATTTTTTTTAATGTTGTGAAAGGGGGTCTGGAGAGATATTTCTTCGAAAGTAGCCATCATCCTCTCCCAAATTTTCAAAATCCCAATCATTTAATAAAACCAGACTATGTACTTGTGCCTTTAATAGCGGGCTTGTTTCATTATGAATTTTCTGGGCTGTAGAGGTTTCCTACATAAGCCTGTAACCCACAGGTCAAGTATAATCATTGGCATTAGTGCTTGCATGTATATTCAGGTTGGGTGGCATAAGGTAATTTGGATGCAACATCAATGCTCTATTGGATGAAATGAACTCATGTTTATTCATGATGATGTAAAGAATGCTCCAATGTCTAATGAGCCAATACAAGGCCCTGATGTCTCTTCTTCTCAGCACATACTTAACATTAATTTTATCACCTCATTTTTCTTATTTAATATAGAGTGGTGAAGTGTGATGACATCAAAACTTTATTTTTAGAATTTCTGAATTTTTTCTTCATTTTCCAAAAGAGCATAAAAAATAATGTCCGAATGTCCAAAACCAATTGAATATATGTTTCATAACATTAGGAACCAGAGCACTATAACACTGAGTTCCCATAGGACATATATTTATTCAGATGGTCATATCTCAGCCAATACTTAACATCTTCAATTGGTTTTCAACATTCAGACATTATTTTTTATGCTCTTTTGGAAAATGAAGAAAAAATTGAAAAATTCAAAAAATAGATTCTTATGATGTCACAGCTTTGGTACTCTATTCCTTCTATTTTGAGTTATGTGATACTTGTATATAATGTCCAGTTTGATCTAAAATGATGCACATGCTTGAATATTCTGATACTTATATCTCCTTGAAGGTTATGGGATATGAGTGTGTGTTGGAGTACGAGGGGAGACAGCATCCTACCATAGCCACCGTTACTTCATCCACACTAGTCACATGTCAGAGTAATATGGTAAGTGCTATGCCCAACTAGTTTTCCTATCTTGCCAGGTTGGCATTTTTCTAATGCACAATGTATATGGACTGACAAAGTTTTTGTACATAATGGTTCAAGTTCTGGTAAATCAGTTAAACCTGACCCTGAGTCTAAAGGAAAATTTAGACCTCAGAGTAACATTGTTTGTTAAATCATATGATGAACAAAAGTGTAATCCCAGCATCAGTTATAAATTGTAGTAGAATATTAACCAATATATTTACAGTCAAACGAATAGGGTGTTGAAGTACCTGTCTAGAGAGGTCACCTACCTACAGTGTCCACTTTTCCTATTTCAGATCATAACTTGAGTCTTGAGCTTTTAGTGTTCAAGTCATATTCTCTTTAAAATAAAAATAAAAAGTTGGTCGCATATTCCTGGGCCATATATGTTTATGTTGCATAAACCCTCCTTGTATTTTGAGAGTTTTTTTAGAAGAAAAATATAGCAATACTTCAAATATTGCATCCATTTTACCATAGGTTACATGTTATGTTTAATGTTCCTATCTCTGACCCCCCCCCCCCCTTTATTGATGTTTCATGTTGGATATATTTACCATACTGTAAACAGTACCTGAATAGGGAAACAATGCAATAGCTGCCAAAGGGCAGTGAGGATTACAAGAAGTAATCCATGAAGCTCTCATAACATGTCTGGGCAATGAAGAGATCTTGACAATTTGTTGACCTGAGATCTATGAAAAGTGGTAGCTGTCATGGGACCATTGTTATTACTATTGTAAATGATAACTTCCTATATCACTCTGATTTTGACATACACACGTCTAATCCTTCCTCTTTCCTTCCTCTTTTATCAGACCGGGAGAAAGATCGTACCCAAGATAAAATAATTATCTTTCAGAAAATATGTACATGAATGTGTACATGTATACTATCATTGTATATCATTTCGCATTATTAGCAGTGGCCACAGAAAGGCTCTGGATTCTATGCAAAGTCAGACTGGCTGTATACATGTATAAGGAAATATGGGTGTGTTTTTTTTCACTTAGACTTTACCTGGTAAGATGAGACTTATCCCAGGGTACTTACATTACAATTTATTTTCACCAACTGTGTATCACATGGCGCATCCAAAATTGTTCAAATCTTAATAATTCCAATCTTTGATTAGATTATGCATGTCTTGTTTAAAATGTGTTGTTTATGTTTTTTTATATAAAGTTATACTGAAGTGAGAATATGGCAATATTTTAAACAAATTCTTTCCTTTTTATGTCTACTTTTGCAACTATTACAGTATACGTATACCACCAACTCACCAAATATCAAGGCGAGCGTATCTGTTCGGTGGAATGGATCAAATGTTATAGACGACGATAACATCACAGGTTAGCAAAATCTTCATGACATTTTGTTGTTTGTTTGTGTGTTTGGTTGTTTTATTTAGCATTAGTTTTCTCCTGTTTTACTATTTCATCATTATCATTGCAGATCTCATTAGTGTTTGCATTGTGCCTTTTTTTTTTTTGTCTTCCCAAATGGCTGATTGTGGTTATGATGATTTTGTTTTGTTTTAATGTGGGCAGCATTTGTTCCTACAATGTATGTGCAATGCCCGTGTTGAAAGCAATGCTCTATTGAACATTAACCTTGTTGTGGTTAGTTAAATGTATATGCATTATTATGTTGTTGTGAAACATGGGTATGGTGCCAACATCACATGGTTGCTGCATCCATCATATGTTATTGTCTGTGGCTTGAGCAGGATGGATTAATACAGGTATTGTGTAATAGAAACCGCAACTGCCCACGTCACAATGACTTGCATGGAAGGAATACATTTTTAATCGAAGTGCAGTGTTCAGGATATGCAACAGGAAAAGTGCATTGCTGTCAGTGGAATAAAGGATCAAAACATATTTGCTACGCGGAAATCCTTATGAGTATTGAGAGATTAAAGACAATTCAAAGACAGAAGAAATATTTAACAATCGATAGGAAGAATACAAAACTTCTCTTTTTATCCTCTTCATGGAAATGTCTTTCTACCACTTAACATTTCCCTAGAAGGTCTAACACCTTTCTGTATTTTACTTCAAAAAATGTTTATACAGTACATGTTAACTCTGATTCTGTAGTTACAAAAATATCCAAGTATATGACAGAGCTCTTTATGATTACAATTATACCATCAAGTTAATCATTAGCTACCTGTCATGGACCACCACTAAGCGAAAGTACTCATAACTGCGATGGTATAGGAATGACCCCCATTCTGTTATGACTCAAGTAGCAACAAGAGGTTAAAGATATACTTGAGTTCTGGTAATGCGATTGCATTGTGAAAGAAAAGGTGTGGAATGGATCAGAAAAGTTGATCATATAGCATATGTAAGTAATGGTGTGTAATGCAAGGTTCTGGAGTCATCAAAATCATCATAAATTTGGCATAGTCTTGGTAAAGTAACAATCACTTACACAGAAAGATGTATAAGGGACAACACACATGGTGTCGGGGCTAGTACTACCCTGATTTTCTTATCTTTCTATTTTCATTACTCAGCCAGTATACGTTTTCTTCCAAAATTGTTTGGCACATGTAATTTATTTGTAATCTTGAACATTCAGTGTGAGTTTCGTTAGATTCTGTGAGAATTCATTTTCTTTTTTTACCAGAACTCAAGTTTATCTTTAATGAGATTGAACCATTGGCTGAACCTGTTATACAGTGTTCAATTTATGATGTCATGTCACACCTCAGATCATTTGTAAAGGTTGACAGGAACTGTCTCCACAATCAATCATATGAGGAATGAAGCTGAAATGCCTGTTCTTATTAAAGCCTGTCTGTACTAGTTTGGCCAGGAGGGATTAAACCACCCAGCATGGTCACTGGCAGCTCAGCTTTCAATTAACATAGGGAAAAAAAGGATCATGGGGGACCAACGGTCACTGCTTAAGCATTGTTTTCTTTATAGAGGGAGCAAGTAGCTACAAGTAGTACATTGAGGCTTTCAAGAGTGCTCTGTACTGGGTATTGGTCATTTTCTGTTTAATATATTACCACACACAAAGAAAACTTTAACTAATCCTAATAAGGACTAAGATTATTTTAGTATGTATGACAGGCTCAACACTAACAGAAGACAGGAACATGTGGGCCTCCAAATAGTAACTGCGGTCTCCCACAGTTTCTAAATTTTAACGGGGCTTATGCATACTGAACCCAAAGATTTCAACCTAGACCCTCTAAGATAAAACTTAATATAGAGACCTGGATATGGGCAAAATCCATTAGAATCGCTCTTCTCTGTTTATCACTTTCAATGGGTTCGCCATCATGGTTCATTTTAATACACAAACATGCTTAAACTGATACATTGACACATATGTTGTAACATTGTCCTTGATTCTTATTTACCATGCAGTGACGTTGTACAACTGTTCAGTGGACCGGGACAGCTGCAGTCGTTGCCTGTCTCCCGACTTCACTCACTCCGACCTGTCATGTCAGTGGTGTGGAAGCACTTGCGCTGTGATGAACAGCACCTTGTGCACTGCCCCAGGTGTTACGCCTGTCTTGCAGGGTTCAGGAGTATGCGCTAATCCAAGAATCACCGATGTAAGTCCTTATACTGGATGTATCAATTATCATCATGAGTTCATAATTACCTCATCTTTTACCTCAAGTATCCTCTTGTGGGAATACAACTGGAGTCGCAAACACTTGAACATACAATGCTACAAATAAAATGGGCATAAGATTTTCCTTGACGTTAAGTTATTAAATGAAAAGATATTCTATCAGAGGTATTTACGGTTATTTTCACAGAGTACATAGATCAACATTTATCGTCACTTAATGACTATTTTCACTTTATATCACATTATTTTGTTGAAAATCTGCTGTACTGCCGTTGATATCTCTGCAAGCAGACAACTGTAGGACCAATACTATTTGTTAAATATTAAGGAAAATGGGGGAAATCTATGGAAATATATGGTACTTCATCGAATCTGTCAAAACAAAGTTGTTCAATGAAACATTCAATTATGATATTCAAACAGTGCTCATCACATATGACAAGTCTCTATACAATTCCATAATTTCATTGGATGTTACCCCAAAATTTTTCTTTTACCGAAGGTGTCTATTCTCATCAAAGAGTTGATTTCAAATCCCCTTTGCCTGTTTCAATCTGCAAGCTTTACTAGTGGGAATCCACTATAAAGTTAATGAGTAAGATCCACAAGATATATACATTCGTCAACATTTCATCTTGTGATTCCAATTGATCAGATTTCTCCAACAAGTGGACCAATAGAAGGCAAGACGATTGTGACAATTTCCGGAACAGACATTGGCCAGTCGGTTGAAGACCTGGTTAGTGTGACACTTGGTGAATCCAATTGCAATTTTACAGACATGAAGGAGTCATACGACCCAGGAAGGAGGTGAGTTAAACATTCTAATGTTGTCTGAATGCTGTCTGTTCACTGAGTTCCCTGTAGGGCCAAGGATAAGGGGGTTTCTTTCGTTCCGTCTGCTTACTTATTGTCATAAAAGCTAGTAACATCAACGCTATTTAATTGTTTTTGCTTCTCTCTCTCCCGCAATCTGTCTCAAGGGCAGGTGATATATTGCCATTCATTTTCTTCCTTCATTTCTTTCGTTCCATCGGCTTACTTTTTGTCATAAAAGCTGGTAACATCAACGATTTTAACAGAGTCTTTCGTTCATTTTCCCGTGGGCGGAAGAAAGGGGGCGGTTGGCGGTTTATAAAACATTAATTACGGTAGTCCTGAACATAATGTGCAATCTCAACTGTGCAGATGTGAGTTGTGTTTTTCAGTATAAATAATAAAGCAGGTTAGCCTGTCTACTGGTCCAAACAACCAAATTTATACAGAATTACCTAGCGCTAGATTATCTTAAAAGCCCAATTCCACTGCCTGAATTTAAGAATACTTTTGATTTTGTCTTATAAATGCTTTTTATATTGATGACATTGTTATATATTTGAGGTTGATGGTTTGATTCATGAATGGATTGTTATTTCTTTTTTGATACTTTCTATCAGTGTGAGTTGTAGAACATCTGCAGGTCCTGTTGGACCGGCCAGTGCTGTAATTGTCCTATTGCTGAATGGCGTAAGAGTGAATGGAACAGGTGGGCTGAAATTCAACTATGAGGTATGTATAGTTTCCAGGTTTAAATCGCAAATTATTGTTCTTTTGATACTTGTTTGGTAATTAATTATGTTCATATTTCAAAAATTCAGTAGAAAAACATTGATTTGATATCTGCTCTTAGCTTTGTTTTATCACAGATATAGGGCCACGGCTTGGGTTGTGGTAACGAGTATGATTTGGGTTAGGTATATGGTTGCTTCCCGGGTTGGAATTAAGAATTAAATTAGTTATTAGTTGAAGGCAGAGTACACGTTACAAAGGTAAGGGTTGTATTTATAGTGATCTGTTTTATTACAAACATCATGCAGAAAGGTTGCTGTGTTTCATTGGCGCAGTATTTTACGACAATGTGAAAACAAGTCTCCTTCTGTAGACTACGTTAAAATGATTGTTGAATAAGAAGAGTGATAATTGATTTTTTTTTGTCTTGATATTCCTTTCATTTGAGGACCCCTCAATCACCAGCATCTTCCCGACAGAGGGCCTTGAGGCGGGTGGTACCCAAGTGACAGTGACTGGCCAGTTTCTCAATACCGGTAGTTCTATCTCTGCCATGTTCGGGGATTCCCCATGCATCTTCAAGAGGTATGTTACTGCAATGTTGATAATTGTAGCTTTATGTTGTGTTATGCATGGAGTTTTTTTTAGCTCTTTAGTGCTGTCTTGTGGTTTTTGCAGGGTTTGTATCTTCTGGACCAAAACAATGCAGTCCAAAATATAGCAAACCCCTGTCTTTAGTAAAGATAAATGTTTATAATCGGTGCCTCAATGATGTGTCTTTCAACTCATTCTGAATTCTTTACTTTTTTTGTCCAACAAATTGTATTTCCTTTTTCCTAATTTAAAAAATCTATTTTAAGCTTCTTTGATTATTCTTTTTATTTGATTGACCTGTGGAAATGAAATCTACCTGTACGATATTCCCTCACTGTTGTTCATGTCAATATTATGAGAAGAAATGATTCCCAAGATACTACCCTCATGACAACCATCCCTTGCCCTACTACCCTACACAAGCATCCTCCAAGACAGCCCCCTTCCTTTCCCCTTCCCTCTCCCCTCTCCCACTCAACAATGACACATTGGACAATTTCCCTATGACATTGGTAACAAGTCGGACAACTGTCACCGTCTCTCTCCAAGTATCTGTTATCGTTATCATGGAACTTGAGGCACGTTACTACACTTGTGCTATAAAGTTATCCAATAAAGTCTACTACTTCTAATATATACAATCATATCATGCATACAAAATTTATTGGCTTTTGATTGGTTGAGAGCTCGTCACGTGACGAAAATATTTCATCTATTTTAAGGTTGCTCTGAAAAAGTACTATATGAGAGTACTATTTGGGAGTTGAAAAAAATTGTGAATTTTTTTTTTGAAATGATTTTTTTTTTCTTTTTCAATTTCTTAATTTAATGAAAACTAGATGTTTTAAATCTTTTTTTGATAAAAATTGACATTTTTTGTTATTTTAATTTTTTTTTCTCCAAAAAAGGGATTAACCATGCCTTCTATTTGAGGTACTGGTTAAAACTATTGGTCTCGGTGACTCCAAAAGTACCATTTACTATTGGAGTCATCTCTTGCGCAAAGTTTTAATCAGAACCTCTCAAGACAGTGTATATTTGTATATTAAAGTGACAACCCCAAAAATAGCAAAGTGCCTTTCTTGACTTTCTCATCCATTTCTAGTCCTCCCACAAGTATGCAGGGAGTGTGTACCACCACCAGTGCATCTCGACCTGACATGGTCAATCTTACCATGGTCTTTGATGGGGCAACCAGATATTCCCAACAGCTTTTCCACTTCTTGCCAAACCCTGAGATCACCACACTCTCCACACTGAAGACCATCAAGGCGTAAGTAGTGGGTAATATGAGAGGGAGGGACAGACAGAGGGATGGACAGAGGGAGGGTGTGAGAAAGAAAGAAAGAACATGAGAAATCATTAACAAATTTAATTCAGGGCATCACGGTTCTAATTAGATTTTTTCTTTCTTTTTCATTTGTACATTAGTATAAGATTTTAAATGTTAATTAATCTGTTGAAAATTTATGAAGAACTGGAGGGGGAGTAATGTTAATACGTTATATGAAAACGTGAATATTTTTTTTAAATAAAAAATATTCCAATTTGCATTATAGGAGGAGTTTAATTCAGACACATTGTGCGGAAACACACACATGAAAGTTGGACAGCATATGCAAGAAAGGGTTGTGGTGTTAGTTATTCTTAACGCTACTGTTTCTCCTTTAGCTCTATAGCCTTCCTGAGTAGCCCAGTGATTATTTCCTCTTCCTCTGGCTCACTTCCTTTCTACTGTCAGATAAACAGATTTTCCAACCATTTCATAAATATGAGTGCTTAGTTAGTTAGTTGTAGTTTCTCTTTGACAAAGAGCCATCAAAAGTGACCCTAAATTTATTTGGGTCAGTTACTCAGTGAAATCAATTTTGTTTTTGGTTGGTTTTTGTGTGTAATGTTAAAAGGACAATTAACGTTGCTTGTTGTACTTATAAGAAAATTTGACATCAATTGTTATGAAATGTGAATGTAAATCAAACAAATTGATTTCTTACATTAGATGTTAAAGAGCAGTCAAATACATTTTGTATTTGTACTATTATTTTATTTTTGCCCATACTATTACACATAAAAGGGCTGAAGTTAAAGAAATCTCTCTGTATTGCTGTTCCAGAATCTAAGCATGAGTTTACTATGCACCTTGGTTTTCATAAAGCTCATGTTGATCAAGCAGTATTGTTTATATGAATTCTTTATCAGTTTGTTGCAATATACCTGAAGAGCACATTCAATCTTCCAGTTTCAATTTTATGTGAGATATTTTGTGTTTTTATTATCACTTTAATACTGTATGATTTTTCTTTCTCTCTTTGCCTTCTCTCTGACAGTGGAGGTTCGCGTATTGAAGTTAGAGGATCAGGTTTTGATGTTATTCAGTCCCCTGTCATGAAAGCAACCTTCACTGGAGGGGAATCTTCCCAAGAGGTGAGTTTACAACACACCTTGTATTGGACTTTGTTCTATTATCCACTTAACAGATTATACATTTTTATTTCTGCATGAGATTTATACAAGCATATGCTTAAATTATGGGTGAATTTTGAAGAAAACAAAAATTTCTTACTGGCAAATTGCCAACCAGAAATTTGGGTGATGATCTGAATATATATTAATGAATGAATTGCCATTATGTTACCAATGGTGAAGGTCGTTTTTAACAAATTTGTGTCCCATGTCTATGTGGAGTATGAAAAATCAGATGAAATAGTGGGTTGTACAGTTTGATTTTGTACTCTTCATCTTTTTAATATGAAACCAACCTTAGGTTTAATTAACCTTGTTGGTTGACCTTTGTGTGGGAGGTTTCCTGGCATTGTTATTGTAGATTTTGGTTAAACTGTGGTTATTATGAAAACATCCTCATTCATATGCTTTTACAAATATGAACCTTATGAACTTTTGAGATGAAGAGTTTAAAATCTATTTTCTACAACCTTACTTTCATGATTTTTGCCAAAATTATGGTCCATTAAAAATTTGAATATACGTCAAGTTATCTTTAATGTTTATTTGAAAACTATGTATCAAATTGACAATATGAATATTTATTAGTGGGTAGAGACCCCTTCCATTCCATATTTTTACTTGTATTTGATTGGTTGGATGGTAAAGAGTGAGGTAGCATAATGCTTTGATCGGCTTTGTTTTTTAATTATTTATGATTGACGTCATAGTAGATATGGCATCGCACACAGAGTGTACACAGGTGACGTAAGTGTACCCGCTATTTTCCTATCATATACATGTAAACAGTGAAATACATTAGTAGTAATCATCAGTGTTTCTTAATCTCTTATACTTTCCCCATCCGTCTTGCATGAAGAGGGATGATATCACCATCAGCTATTTCTCTCCTAGGATGTTTGGTTCGAGCCTCTTACCCTATTTCTCTGTCCCTCTTTCTTGTTTATGCTTTGTATCCCTCTATTTTCCTATCATATACAGTCAAACCTGTCTATAGCGACCCAAGGGAAACACAAAAAGTGGCCTTTGTAGACAGGTTCGTTTAGTACATGTTTCAATGAGAAACCATTTTCAAGGGTAACAAAAATGTGGTCTTTGTAGACAGGTGGTCACTAAAGCAGGTTTGACTGTATATCTACACAGTGAAATACCAATCATAATTTTTCTTAATCTCTTCTACTTACCTCCCTCCATCAGTCTTGCATGAAGAGGGATGATACCACCATCAGCTGCACGTCTCCCACCCTCCCAGCGGGTGTCCTCCCCTACGTCCCAGTGAATAGCAGGAAGAGAAGAGCCTCCAGTACCGATCCACTGGCTTCTGCTACGCTCTCGTTCATCCTGGATGGATACAACTTCACCTATGGAGAGGACCTGGTCTACTACCCCAATCCTGTGTACGAACGCTTCAGTGATGAGGGTAACGTGCGCAAGTATGAAGAGGACATTATCATCGCGGTGAGTCGAATTTGTTTATTTGGTAGGGATTTTCTTTCCCTCCCCCCATAAAGAAAACAAACATCTTCTATTGACATGCTTTATGTTACATTCATGTTAATTGCATGATTATTTAATGGTGCCTGAATTCATTTCATGTTTTGAAAAAAGTTGTTTAAGTTTAAGTGATCATCACAATTGTACTGGAAAACAAATTCCTCCTTTTATTATATGTTGATTTTTCTATGACATGAGAATCTATGAGAAACTGCAAATTTTCTCAAGTCTCTACATATTATTTTTATAGAAATACTTCAATTGGTGCTTTTGAGTTATTTTTCTTTTGCATTTTCCTGAAGTAATATTGTCTTCATTTGCATTGCATTATTTTGAATGTATATTCTGAAAAAATTGGATTTTTGAAAACAATTCCTCGCGTTTTGTATCTTTTTATCATTATGCTGTAGCCATTCCATGTCTTAAATTTTTTTAGTTGATCATAATACAGTGTGGTTCACAATGCAATTGTAAAGGAATCAAAAATACCTTTCCATGCCTTGCGCCTAATGATCATGATTGAATCATTGAATCCTTGATGCTTTGCTCCTAGCGCTCACGATTGAATCATTGAATCCTCGATGCTTTGCTCCTAGTGCTCATGATTGAATCATTGAATCCTCTCTTTCACACAGGGTATGAATCTGGATTTGGCCAGCACCAAGGCTGACGTTGAGGTGATGGTAGGAGACCAGAATGGAACAGTCAGATCTTTGGCTCAAGAATTGCTCATCTTCAGCCCGCCCAAGGTTAAACCAGGCTTAGGAACCATGGATAACAGCAGCAAAGGCATGCCTCTTGTAGTGGTAAGGAGAATGCTACAAGGCCCCTAACTTACCCCCCGTAAAAAACAAAAAAATAAAAAATAAAATGAAATAAAAATAATAATAATAATATTACTAATAATAATTTTAAAAATTTAAAAAATGGAAAAAAATGAAAAAATATTAATAATACATGTTTGGCAAATTTTGGGCTCCAAACACTTCCGAGGGGCTTCAAAGGTACTACAGTGGTAACTTGTTATAACAAGGTCCTTGGGACCCAGGAAATTACCTTGTTATATCAGGAATCTTGTTATACATGTATCAGGGTTAAAAAAAAAAAGAGAATAAAGAGCTGGGAAAAGCAAAATCACCTTTTTATATCAGATATAATTAGGTGGAAGGCAAAAATCGGCACTTAAAAAAAAAAAAAAATGGCGGCCGTGTATACAAGTACGACAAATCGTACATCGAGTAGTTGTCAACAGTGTATAGCCTGTTCAAAGTTTGACCTCGGATGTAATCAAATGGTAGAGGATGGGGGTACTCAAATTTGGTTTGGACGGTGGTGTGCCGCTCAAACCTCGAAACCCCTACCCATTTGTAAGGGTTGTTTGGAGGGTCTTTTCTCAAACTAAAGGCCCGTTTTTCAATATTTTCAGGTAAAATAAGGAAAACAAATCACTGAATTTCATTTCCATGACATGCTGAAGACTGTGTCGTAATCCTTACCCTGCTTGAATTCTCCTTTTTCCTTTAGGTCAAGCATGGCCACCTCGTCACCAGGATCGGCTGGATAGATTACTCCGCTGTGACAAGCGGTAATATGATGTTGATCGTCATCTTGAGTGGCGTGGGATGTCTGATCGTCATCGTCGTGTTCATCCTGGTGATGTGCTATGCGTCCTCTCGCAAGCGCTACAAGAACCAGCTTGAGCAGGTCAAGCTGGAGATGACAGAGCTGGAGGATGCTGTCAAGAATGAGGCTACTAAAGGTAGATATATGAAATAAATGGACAATTTTGTTATATACTGTCCAAGGGAAATTGGAAGTTTTTAAAAATTAGGCAAGTTTTCTGTTTGGTTTTGAATGTTTGAAGGATATATCTGCAATTTGAGAAGATGGGGTAACTCTTTCCATGGAGAAGGAGCTACTGTTGGATATGCTCAGTGTGGCTTTATTGCATACTCTCTCTTTTATGATATGTTACATTTATAACAAATGTAAATGGTTCTTGCCTTACCCTTCCTCTATGCTCTCTCTCTTTCTCTTTGTAAGATTTCTCAATCTTTCTTTCCCTATCCTTGCCTTTTAATTTTCTGTGTCGCTGCCCTGCATTAGATGTGGCCCTGAACAAAATATACTATCTTTCTCCTAAGTACAGCAAATCATGTTATTTTTTTTTCCTTCATCATTCTTCAAATTTTAAAGTTAGTGGTTGTTGTGTATATATAAAAAGTGAACATTATACATAAAAAGTGTACATTGCGCAATCAGGGACACTGATTTGAGATTCATGATCATGCATGTCTTATTCTTCTTTTTATTACAGCGTTCTTTGACATCCAGCAAGACATGTCTGGCATCAAGGACCAGCTGCAAGACCTTGGTGGTATGCCATTCGTCACAGGTCAAGATTACATCAGGAACATGCTCTTTGTAGGACTGGATGTACAGCCCATGATTATAGACCCACAGGTTGGTGTCCAGCAAATTAATTATTGAGTTTAATTGGTGTACTAGATGTATTCATAGTAATATCAATGATGATGATGATAATAATGATGAGGATGAGGATGATGATTATGATGATAGTGACGAGGATGGTGATGCTAATGATGATGGCAATGATTGGGATGAGGATAATGATGGCAATGATGGAAATGATTGAAATGATGATTTTGAATATGGGAAATTGCAATGTAATGGTTGTTGTTAGTTTATTATTTGATAAAGAGCATTTTTATTAAGTGTGGGTCATCATGAGATGTCATTCTAAGGAAAAACAATGCCTCAAGCTAGGAAAGATCTTTCACTTACATTGTAGTGACTATATAATGCAGCGTCAAACTAGTTTTCTATTCATATTTCTCTAGATATAAGTGAACTTAAATGAGTCTAATGGGGGTTCCAATTTTTGCAGAAAAATGTAGAATTACAAATTATAGCTGAATGTATGTTCATTTGGAAATGTAACAGCCCATTGTAAGAGAACATTTTGTAAATGATCCATGAGTGATTGGAGGGAACTCTGTTACTTTTTTCATTTTTCATTGCTTGATGTAGCGCCCCGAAGAAAACTTAACCAGAGCCATGACGGACTTCTCCAAACTTCTCATGAACAAGGACTTCCTTCTAGTCTTCATTCGCTCTCTAGATGAGGATAAGAAGCTCGCCATGAGAGACAGGTATCTACTTTACTGCTATTATGACGTTACTGCGATACTGCTAATACTTACTTGAAAACATTAGTTTCTCAACAATATGACTGAAAATGTAGAGAATAAAAGTATCTAAATTGACCAAATCTGCCACATGTATTTGACTGATTTACTTTATGCCTTCATTTAAATGACATAGTTTTACAGTTCGTTTGATAATAACATGGGCTGCAACCATAGAGAAACGACTTTCAATTTAAGGGTCCAATATTTTGCTGGATACACTTATCTAATACGTACAATATCCATGTCTTTCTCATAATGAAGGTGTCATCTGTTAAGAGCCAGAAGGGTGTTAACACTGCAAAATAATAAGAGATAAATTCCTTATGACTCCCCAAAAACAGTGTATATTGTTTTGTAGTGAAAAAGCCTCCATCAAGTGTGACTTCCATTTATACTGCACTTAGAAAGAATTTGATTGTGTAATAGATCTCAAGGAAGGTTGAATATTGCTCTCATTTTGGAAGTGTCACATTACTCTTTTTATCTTTCCACTCAGGAATAACATCGCTTCCCTTTTGACGGTCTGTATGGTTCTTGAAGGCAAGCTGTCTTATCTGTCCGAGTAAGTATATGTCTTTCTGTGCATACAAAGTTCATTTGTCTTGGAGTTTATGTATTGTGAAAGCATGAATAATGACATTTTGAATTGTATGGTTCCTGATGGAATTTTTACTGGTCTTGTCACAATGTACTACAGGTAGAGAATCTAGGAAAGAAGTTCATAACTGTCAGCATTTCTTCAGGTTTTGATCTTACCACCACCCCCCCCCCAAAAAAAAATGTATATTGATGAGGTGATGCATAACATTTTCCACAATGCCTTGAGACAAGACATCTGTGTTCAGTCCAGGAGAATGTTCTCTGTTGATGTGTGTATATGTATTCAAACTTGTTTCTACCTCACAGCACCGGAAACAATAATAACAACAACATCAATGTAAAAAGCTCTATGAAAAGAGAATCTTTATTAATAAAAACAAATGTCAGAATACAGCATGAACATTATTTGGTCATATGCTCGTGAGTGTGATCCATCCATTTTATATCTTTCTTTCTTTCTCTTTTTTTCTCCCTAGTGTGATGCTAACCATGATGTCAGAGCAGATCACTAATGCTGCTGATGTGGACAGATACAGACAACTCTTCAGAAAGTAAGGATATGGCATTATGTAGTAAATAATATGATAATTGTATGGGGAATGAGAACAAAAGAGTGGGGAGAAGAGAGTTGGATTTGAGAATATTAAAGTCAATGGGTGGGAAAGATAAATACTTGCTCGATGGTGATTGAGGGGGCAGGAAGTCAATGCTTAAAGGCAATTTCAGAGTTGATGCACAATGGCTCAGTGGTAAGAGCAGTGGTGACTTAATCGGCAGATCCCTGGTTCAAAACCAAGTCAATGCGCTAGTGCCCTTTGTTTGTTAAGGTATCAATCTTCATTACCAAGTCCCTCGGAGAGGGCTGTAGCCATTGGTTTCCTCCTGGTAGCTTGCTTACAAGCAAACACATTCTTTCTTAGCAGTCTGGTAACAAAATAGAAGCATCAATCCTATCATTCCAAATAAATTTGAAGAAATTTCCAGAAGAATAGATTGGAAGGAGGGGAAGAGATAAGTGAAAAAAGAAGATGATTGCTCAATGAGGATTTTTTTTTCTCCTGGTAATATGAAACAATCAGCTAATATCATTGTTTGTGTATGTATTTACTTCACAGTGTTGAAAGCATTGTTGAGAAGATTCTGGCCAACTGGATGGCTCTCTGTATGTACAAATATATACAGGTAAGTTTGCATGTTTTTTTTTCCCTTTACATTTGCTTGATATTTTTTTGAAGAGCAGATATACTTTCATGTTTATTAGAAATATTGATTAATGGAAACTTATTTATTTAAGATATTAACACATGTACAATTTTAGGTTGTTTATTTGATGCGATACAATATTATGTCTTTTGGTCATTACATTTATTTAAGAAAACCCCCATAAACATGTGAAAGTTTATCAGTTAATGAAATGTTTATCATATAAAATATTATATTTACCTGATCCTTCTTCTAATCTTTCCTGTCTCTTTTTACCTTACTCTCTGTCTTATCGCCTTTTATATCTTCCTAACCATCTTTCACTTCCCCAACATGCTTTTCTTTTCGCTACAGAAACATGTTGCCTATCCCCTGTACATGCTGTATCAAGCCATCAAGTTCCAGGTGGAGAAGGGTCCCATCGATATCATCACAGGCCACGCCCACTTCTCACTCAACTACGAGTACCTCTTGGATGAGGATGTCACGTTTGCTGAAGTGGTAATTAGTTTGTTTATTTATTACAATTCAAAATCTTTTTATTACAGTTGTGGTACTCTCCTTACATAATAATAATAATAATAATTGTTTGTTCTTATATAGCGCTTTCAGGACCGCAGGCACTCTCAAAGCGTTTTTCAGATATATATTATTACCCCGGTCATCGGATTCAGGCTTTCCCCACACACAATGTATGCACATTCTCCACTCCCTGGGGAGCATTCCAGCCAGGCGTTATTTTTTACAAGCGCACACTTGCTAATCTAAGCACATTAGCTTTCCCATCTTACCGGGTACCCATTTATCACCAGGATGGAGAGTGACAAATGTAGATCAATGTCTTGCCAAAGGACATTAGTGCTGCGGCGGGACTTGAACTGTATGGATGCATTATGAGTGCGAATATAGAAATGTTACCAATTCGTTCATGATTTTGTTCTTTTACATATGAACAGGGTCTTGAGGTTGAGAATCAAGTACAGAAGGGAGAGACCAGCACGGTGAAGGTCCTGGATGTAGATACTATCACACAGGTTAAGGAGAAGGTCCTGGATGCTGTGTTCCTCAACAAGCCTCAGTCAGAGAGGAAAATTGCAGCCGAAGTGGATCTAGGTAAATACATTATGATAATAATAACCTGAACTTTTAAGTGGCTTTATGTTACTTTTATCATGTAGTTTAGATGCAATCTAGCGTCCTCCTATGTAGGCCATATACGTATGCCAGTGGCGTCACCCAAAGCATTTTTAACTTCATAATCACAGTGCGTTTAGTATTCGGGAGACGTCTTACCAAGATTTGTTGAATATCTGTTATTGTGTTGATGCCTCCAACTTTTTGTTAGTGGGGGCCAAATTAGTAATTTTAAAGAATTGATCAGAAGTTATGTATTTCTCATGTAACATTAATTTGTAAATTAAACTTTATATGTAAAACTCATTTGTACTGCAGCTGCCTTTTAAGTGACTGTCTATGTACTTCATTTGTGCAATTACAAATAGTCAACACTTTAAAGGCATCTGTTAAATCATGCAGTATTACATGATAGGTGCAAAATTAAGGTCTTTCCTAATATTATTTGAAACCTTGGTGAAAAAAATCACCCTCATCTACTTGTTTTCAGATCGGCTTTTCTGTTCCTGAATTACAAGAGAATGCATTCATATTAACACTATCAACAATGCAGGTTCCATTTGTAGTTGTAAGACATGATTTACATTGATTTGTATGGCTTTGTTCTACACATCTCTTTGATTTGCAGTGTTGAGGAGTGGCAAACTTGGCCAGCTGGTTCTGAGAGATACTGATAACACAACAGAGAAGCCAGATGTCCCTAGATGGGCTAAAGTCAATACAATCCAACATTACAGGGTAAGAATCCAGAATTATACTGTTATCTGCTTTTAACTCTTCTAACTTTAGTGTATAGAGATTCCTATTATATATATATTTTTTTTTAATCCCCAAGAATCCTACGTTCAGGTGCATTAAATTTACGCATTTAAGCATCAATGCTGAAGTGAAAATATATAGCAGAGATGAACATTGTGGGATACAAGAGCAGTGGAGATTTGTATCTATATTTCCTATAAACAGCTCTCTAAAGCTCAGTCAAGGCTCTGCTATTTCTAATATCGCTTTCAGATGAGTTATAATTTGTTGTTTCATGATTGTTTCAGATAACTGATGGTGCCGTAGTAGGTCTAGTTTACAAGCAGGACAATCCCAATGCAAGTCTTGCTACTCCCCTGGATGAGGAAACAGAATTACTTGCCCCGAGTCGTAAGTTTCAAACTTCAATTTCTTATACTGTGTAATTGCAAACACAACAGTTATAAGATTCAAATTTGATTGGGATGATTTCATTTTTAAACATAGAAAATACTGCGACACTCATAGATCAAAGGTTCACGTAATTTTGCTACAGATTATATACTGAATGTCAGCTTTAATAGAGACTATGCTTTCAGGTTTAGATAAACAACTGTGTCTAACATATTCATTCAATTTGTGCTTGAAAGTTTGTTGCTTGATTGTCATGGATTAACCTTGTTCAAATGTTATTAACCTGTGCAGTGTTAAGGAACGGGCATAATTCTTGCAACTTACCCAATATTTGTCTCTTTTCAGCTGCAGCCAGTCCGAAGCGGTTCCCTGTAGCTCTGCAGAGGTTCAACACCAATGTAGAGAGTGATCTAGAAGAAGGGTTCCAATTCTATCATATAGTAAGACAAACAAACATATATTTCTATACCCCGCCCCTGCTTTATATTGCTATCAAGCTTTGGTACTTCTTTATTATTATTATACATTCTGATCAACCAAGAAATTGGGCTCTTTTCCTTTAAAATGCAACCTCTATTAAGGATGATTAAGCTACTTCATAATGACAAATATTGTGTCTGAAATTGTATTTGTATTTATTAATAAAAAGTCTTAAGTTGCCCAAACAATTTGATATTCAAAACATTTCTACTTGTCCTAATGCCTTGCTTCTGTATCTCTGAAATGGTTTATTAAGATTTCACTAATCTTTATCTTGGCTTTCTGTACATTTCAGTCCAATCTGTACGAAGACGATGCAACGAAAAAGACGATTGGTCGCAGAGGCAGATCATCTAGCAGCACAAGAATCAAACATAGGAAGATTAGAGAGATCTATCTTAGGAGATTAGTCTCAACAAAGGTGGGTTCTATTCCTCTACAAATTGGTCACAAATACAAAATATTTTCAAATGCTAATGGTGCAATTTTTTCCATGTGGCTTAGCATTCAAGGTGAAGGTGGTATTGATATGAGGCCATTTTCAAAGAATGGAAGAATCTGACTGAAGATGTTGGAGAACAAACACTTGGAGAAACCCAAATGCATTGTTATGGGATATTGATGAGCAAAGACTCTGTCATTGACAAATTTTAGAGATTTTTTGTCACAATCTTTGTGTTCACGCTATTTATGATTTGGGCAAGATGTGTACAAATATGAAGACTTCTATCTAAAATCTTTGCGCAGGTGGTTTTCAGAACCGCAATACACACTTGTAGTTGCGAAATTGTATTTTTGCTGTCAGTTACATTATATCCAATTCCTACCTTGCTTTTCATACATCTCAGAGCTGTGAAAGAGTTGGTCCATACCTCTTTACTACAGCATCATTCTCTGTTAAAGTACATAATATTAACAAAGTCTGTTTAAAACTAATGCAGTTATGGGGTAATAAAAATAATCTGGATTTATATAGTGCTTAATACGGAATACCGCCTCTCAGCGCTTTACAGAAATTATTACGTGCTGAAAGATAAGTAACAGAGCACTGAAGTGTGCTTACTTACCATAACAGAGATGCCAACTAGTACGGATTTCATGTAATTTCTACGGGAAATCGGCCGATTACGGGCGGTACGATTTTCATACCATAAATCCCGGATTTTGCAGATTTTGCAGATTTTCAAAATTAGCACTTTAAGGTTTAGCACGTACTTTTGACTATTGCAGCGCAGCCATCCTTGAATCCATGCATAGAAATCCCATAGGGCTTCCGATTGGACAATTTGTTATCTAGCACACCCCTTTCACAGTGCAGGTGCATACATGTGTGTCTAGTATATTCTGACTGTGTGCGTGTGTGCCCAGCAGAGAAAGACAGCTTCGCGAGCGGGGGCCCGGGCCGGGTGAAATACCTCTCTTGGCCGCGCCGTCAGCGCCAGGCCTCGCTACGCTGGCGCCGTGTACACTGTCGGATTTCTCACAGGCTGTCACAGCGTTCGTCGATTTTCATCGACAATCTGAACTCATGTTGGTTGGATTTAAATATCAATCATCATGTCTTCCACAACTAAGAAGCGTGGCAAGAAGTTACAGACTTTTAAAGAAGAATACAGTAAGAAATGGAAATGCATCGTTCCTTCAAAGAAAAGCCTGAATCATGCTAGGTGCACGATATGTGCATCAGATTTCAACATTGGACATGGCGGGGCAAAAGACCATAGTGGCAAATTCATGCAAAAAAATATATTCAAGAAATTGACTTGAAAACACATCAGACAATTACGTGGGTTCTCCAATCCAAAATCGTATCTCACACACACACTCTCGCCATACCGCGAATGGTCCGTCGTGGGGAGCTAGCCGCCCGAGAGTTTGCCAGCGATACCAACGCACCCTCGGAGCTCCGCAGCGCACAATTTTAGCGGAACTCGAAAGGTTCGAGGTGGGAAGGTGGCGGGCTAGCTTTTTGCCAAAACCACGCTAGAACGTCTGCTGGCAAAGTGAAAATAACTACGATCGAGAACATCGCCGGTTTCAGTGAGATAATTCTGAATTCTAATTGAGACTATATAATAAATTATATCGACAAAGAAACCTCGGTAGATCTCTTATAACTATACAAAAGCTTGTTTATTTCTCGTTTTGACATTTGTTTTCGAGCCATTTTTTCGTGCGCGAGTCAATGCAAACTTTGTATTACCAAACTTTCAACACGCAAGGAACGGGGAACACTCGCGGACCCCGTATCAAATTCGTTGCAAAAAAATTTTTCAAGGGTGATTTTGAAAGCAGTGAAGAAAATTTGCGCTGCGATGCTCAGAAATATACTTGAAAGAAACTTAAAAAATCACACCTGAATTTTCAGAAAATCGTATTTGCATTACCGAGCCTAGATCTAGTTGTGAGTTGTTTATAACTCAGATTTTATGAAGATTTGTCGGAAAAAAATGTCATTTTTTTCCGTTTGGTGGTCATTTCTAGGCTAATATTTAAAAAGTTGCATCAGTAATGGGCCCGATGTTTCTCTTATCGTACTCGCATGTTATTTCTACATAGATTAAACATAGGATGGTTAGGGGTAAGACCGGATAACATTATAAAAAAGATATATCCTTCCACCCTCCCATATCCAAGTTTTGGGCTGATTATCGCAGACCCACCGCAGCAAGGCCATTCAGATTTTTGTACGCTCGCGAAGCGCCCTCTAGTGCCCCATGAATGTGCCTACTATAGTAACATATCAAGACATTTTGTCATGAGTTCATCCAGTCTTTCAGTAGAATACTTTCAATATGGAGTTACATGCACATGTAACACCAACTAATGAACAGGTATGTTACTTTCATTTAACTTGTTGTGCTATCGCGCTTGCCTGCGGGAGCTGCGCTTGCCAGCGTGCAGAAAAATTTGCGTCGCGCAGAAAATTACTGATTTTGTCTCCAAATTACTGATTTTTAGCCTTATGATTACTGATTTGTGCTCTGAAAGGTTGGCATCCCTGCCATAATGCTTTTTATCATGATGAATGTTTTTACATTTGATTATGAGTGACATGTGATGTCGACTTATCATTGTTTTTAAACCAACAGAAATCCATCCAAACGTTTGTAGACGAGGCCTTGCAGGTGATGTTATCAGTTTCTAACGAGAGACCCCTCCCCAAGTCCCTCAAGTACCTGTTTGATTTCCTAGATCGTCAGGCTAGCAGACATAACCTGAAATCAGACACTGCTGAGCTCTGGAAGACTAGCTGGTAAGTAGGAATACTCAGTAGGGGATGGAGATGGTGCACTGTTGTGCGCAGGCTTGAAATCCAGTAACTAGGAGTGATAATGATAATATTGTAAAGTGCATTGGAAGTATTCATGTAATAGACCATATAACAATGATAATAATAAATACATTAGATTTATATAGCGCCATTATCCATTGTATTTAAATGCTCAAGGTGCTTCAAAATATTAGGGAACACATTACACCATGACAAAGGAGTTGTGTACATTTACATAACAAAGAAAGAAAAAAAAATACAAAAATGAATGTGAAATATGTTATTGTAGATGATACAAAATAATATGTAGGCAAGTCTGTCAGTCTTAGATTATGAGGAAATCAGATGATATTTGTAGACACTACCTTCAATCTTTTCTATGTTTTGCTTGAAGTCTAAGGTCTGATTGGTAAAGAATGTAAATGCCAATCTCAGTATTTACTCTTGATAATTGACCATCCATCCTTAAACAAAAAGTAGTAGAGGTGTTGTGGTCTAGTGGATACATGTTGGACTGTGGAGCACATGGTTCGCGGTTCAAGTCCTACCGCGGCACTAATATCCTTTGGCAAGACATCAATTTGGATTTGCCCCTCTCCACCCAGGTGTTAAATAGGTAACAGTAGGAAGGAATCCTTCGAATAACTGTGAGCACCAAAATCGGTAGCCTAGCAGAGCTTGGTAATATTGGAGCTCCTTGAGCACCTTGCTGTTTCCAGATCCATCTAGAGTGTGTTTTTCTCTTGAATAATTATCCATCACTGTTTTGCGTCTTTCTAATGAATTCCAGATTGTTCCCTTTAATGCATGACAACAATCTAGCTAGAAAATTGTTATTGAAATTGATCCTCAATTTATCATTCTTCCCCCCCTTCCCCTTCCCCTCTTCTCTTCTCCAGTCTTCCGTTGAGATTCTGGGTGACAGTCCTGAACCATCCATCGTACGTGTTTGACATGAGCCAAACCAGGACTGTCGATGCCTGTCTCAATGTACTCACCCAGATGCTGGACAATGCCTGCAAGGGAATCGTACCCAAGTACAACTTTGTAAGTACCATATACCATCCATTTTGATAACGAAATTATATGAAGTTCATAAAACTTGTTCTTCTCATTTTGTTTCCCTACGCCTTTTTCTTGTACTTTTGCATGTAATGTAACTATTTTCAGTCATATTTTATTTTTAATCTCTCTAATCAATAATGATGATAGATGATGATGATGATGGGGATAACAGTGGTTACAGCAATGATGATGCTCATGATGATGATGATGTATATTACGGGAGTACAAAGAATGCAGGTACATGTATATATCAGGAAATAGTGGACTACAGCTTTAAGTCCTATCTCAGAGACTCAATAAATATATCCCTAACAGAAGTGCCTATTCAAACCCTCTTTATAACAAGACCACTGCTGTCATACTGAGCCATCATGACTACGACCATAACACTTCCTTTTCTTTTTTTCTTTTTTTCTCTCGTATCCCCCTCTCTTCTCTTCTCTTCCTCTCTTCTCTTATTGAACCATGTAGGAGACATCCCCTAGCCGTGTGCTGTATGCCAGTGAACTGCCAGGCTACATCGACATGATTCCAGAGTTCTACAAGGAGATCAAAGAACAACCCAGAGTCAGGCAAGAGGAGGTGGATGAGGAGTTTGCAGATGTTTGTGAGGTAAGGTATCTTTTCCTTCACACATCCTGCAGTAACTCTAAGAAACCGACGGTAGATGATTGGTGTTTGAGGAATGATAATCTCTACATCATGCAAAAGAAGATGATATCGGGGGAGATCTTCGATTTATATTCTTAGGTACTCAAACACAGAAATAGTTCAAGGAATTTGAAGATTGACAGTAGGCACAAGAGTAATGATAAATGCAGTGTGATATTAAAAGAAATCTGCTATTATTGCTTGGTAGCCAGTGCACAAACTATGTTGGTAATTTTTACTTCAGAAGGTGTCTCACAATGTACCATGTTTACATTTCAATCATCTGTATTCTAACTTTGTTTCTTTCTTTTCTTACTATTGCAGACATTCCAAGGAACATTTAGTAAAATTGGCACCCTACACCAACTCTATGAGTATGCTAGCAGAAGGAATGACACGGTAAGTCATTATTTCAGCTTTTCCACACTTTTGTACGTTTAAAAAAACCCACCACATCCGTAAGTTACTAATACCTTAGTCACACTAACGCGACCAACACTAGACTGAACAAAGTGACATTACCGGGTACCTCAAATGGCCAATGTTGGTTAGGGTGAAGTTGATGTGGAGTCAGTTTGGCAGTGTGACCGAGGTATCAGTATTTTCTTATTGAACTAGTTGAAGTTGACATCTGTAAAGCCAGATTCTTTTGAAACTTTAATGGCTGCTATTTAAGTGACAGGAAACATTCATGATTTACTAATATTGGTACAAATTTAGAAGTTTTTGTTATTGCAAAATTTTGAGGCATGATACTTTTATAAATCAGAACCATACGCAGTAACAAAGACAGTGGTAGTGCCAATTCTTTCTTTTTTCCACATGAAGTGTCTGATTAGTTTTACACCTTCTAAGAAGTTTCTAAACGTTAATTTTTTCTCACAAAGCCCCAATAAATTGTCTTTGTTTGATGCTTGCAGCTGATAGATGCTTTGGAAGAGGATGAGCAATGCCAGAGAGCCAACATGGGATACAAGCTGGAGCAGATTGGACAGATGTTAGCCCAGGGTCAAGACTAGATGAACAGAGCTTACCCCCAGGGCCACCCCAGGGCCACCTCCAGAAGGGCCAAGAGCAGATCATCCAGAGAGAGCAATACGACTGCCACATTGAGGATTGATTGTGTAATGCTATATGCTGAATTCCAGGACACTGATGGCGAGTGAAGCTGGAGCAAAAAGTAAGATAATGATGTGGTTCCAGGTGAATCGATGTTGACATCATCACGGAGATGCGTGTCAATACGTGAATCACCAGAATACAACGGATCAGTGTACTACTGCCTTGTGAATTGAAATTGAGAAAACCTTGTTCTTCTGTAAAACCATTGAAAAAAACAAAATGACTTGCCAATCTTGTTCTTGTGACCAAAAAATGTGTGCAGCATTGTTGTCTTTGATCATCCCAGAAGTTGTGTCATTGTCACCAGGTACCAAACTGTGTCCATGCTTGGTGATAACCCAGAGTGTTTGTAGTAAAATGATGTTGAATTTGTAAGATATTGATGGATGCAGAAATGAGTGGGGCCAGTGTATTGCCACAGTCACGGGCTCTAGACTCTTAGTTAAGTATTTTCTCTGTCGCAAAGAGAATCTAGCTACCCACCTGTATATTGTCTCTATGATTCAGATTCCAAGTACGCATGTATGTCTGGTTACAGTGGCTGAATGTGTATATTGATAAACATGGGCATGTCATGTGACCAGCTGATGAACATGTTGCAGTCACCTGACAAAACAGGCATGTCATGTGACTAGCTGTCTCTCAAATGAACTCAAATATACAGCACAGCTAAAATGGTCATTGTATTATATGTATACTTCTCTGTGGAGAATTCAATTATTGTTACAAGAATGAGTTTTTGTAAAATAATGTGTTTTGTGTAAATGATCCACCGTGAAAGTTTTAATATAGTTAGTGTCAGCGTTTTTTTTGTGCCTAAGATTTCAGAGTTGGGTATGGTGAAAGAGAATTTCAAAGTGTGGAAGAATTGTGATTTTGACTAATACGAATGAACTATAAATTATGAATATTCATTGAGCTAGCCATGTGATATGTATATTTAGCAGGTAGTTATCTTATTCTATACAGTAGTATACATTCACAGGATATAAATGTCTCCTAAAGTACATCTTGTAGTTTTAAGGTGTCATGATGGCCTTTGCTCTGTAGACATTCAGATTTCTTTCTTCTTTCTGCCAGGTCTTATTTACTTTCAAAAACTTTTCATCACTTTCAAAGCAAAATCATATGTACTTTTATGCATCGGCGATATCGGATATGTAACGTGTTTTTTCAGTTCCATTGTCTTTTTACAATATAATTTTTCAGAAATATATAATTTCTTTGACATTTTTTAAATTTCATCAAGTGACATGAACTGAATCGAACGTACTGAGATAATTCATTTTTTTCCTCTGAAAATCAAGTGCTTGAAGGTAGTATTTACAAATTGCAGACACTCTGTATGGTTCAGACCTGTCATTTAGAATCTTTAAAAAAAATTATGCTTTTACAGTAACCATGACAGCAATGTTTTAACATCATGAACTTGCTTTCACCAACTAGTTTCTGGTTATTATTGTGCCCCATAATTGCTATCTGAATTGTGTTGGATAAGAAGTTTACTGTAATTTGTTGATACTACCTGTTATATTGACGCACCTACGATATACACATGTACATTTAACCAAGAGATTTCTTTTCGTCCTTTGCTTCTGTGGGGGATATTTTGATTACTTTAAGAATTCTCAAGTACTTTTAGTCGCGATCATGTTTTTTATTATTTGGTAATAGATTAAAGTAAATTCTGAATGATGTATGCTTTCTCTATTTGTTCTTATTCTTTCATACTTTGCACATTGTAAGTTTCTTTGTAGGGCTAGAATATAAATGAAAGGATATGAATTGTGGATTTCATTTAGTTAGTAATACATAATGTGTTCTGTATTCATCATTGCCAAGGCATGAAACAGAAATCACATTACTTTTTCTGTTGACTTTGTGGAAGTTGAGTGAAATGCACCTTGTATTAAAAAAAATGTGTATAAAAAGGCTATGTACCAAATTTCTTTCAACTCAGTTCTGTGTGTTTATCTTAATCAACTTACTTAACCGTTTAATCCAGTGTTATTAGTTACGCAAGGCATGATTTAGAGAACCAGCCGTTGCAATTTGTACTTCAGTACTTAAAATCTTTCACTCATGCACAATTGTATCTTGATATTTTTGCTATGACACTGAATTCGGATATAGTATGCATGTGCATGAAATGAAGATGAACTGCAAAGTGATTATATTTTATCATGTTTGAATTGTTGCTGTCTTGTGTGTTTATTATGTTTTGTGTGTTACAATGCTTTACTCACATTTGATAAATAACTTGCTAGTACTATATCTCTTGCTATTACAATCAGTTGTGTTATGTATGTACAAAATCATTATGTTCCACTGCAATATTTAATTTTGCATGTTTAGTCTATGAATGTAAATGTACATGTAGCTCACGTTTTCTTTTCTTCTTGCAAAGCAGTGGTATTTTCTTATCTCTTTTGAAATAGGATAGTGTTAAAAAGAAATGAAAGAAGTAAGTCTGTTAATATTCTAAAATATCTTTATGATGTAGCTAAATGACCATTGATATGATATTGTCATTTTTAGTCCACTCCAGTTCTTAATTGCTATATCCATTTTAATTTTAGCCCATTTTTAACGAAAGTCATAATGAAGAGTGGTATTGAAATGAAGTCGATGTAAGCTTACTTCAAGAAACATGGTCACTGTGGAGAAGAGTTTATATGCTTTAATTACAATGTCAAAAATGGATTAACACAACTACAAAGTTAGACTTTATACTAACCACTGATCACAAAACTATGTTTATCATACAAAATGAAAATGATTTTATTCAATGAAACTACGGTTATGAAGATTCAAACAATACTCAGTAGATAGGTGTTGATCTGCCACATTATAGCATAGTATTCCTTTCTCTTTTTATGATCTCAAGTTTTAATCTGTTTCATAGGTTGAGGTGTAGTAGTATAGAACTGCCTATAGTGATGGACACTGCACATGTAAGGTTCAAGTGTATTTCACATTCTGACTCGAAAACACTACTTTTATCTTCATGTATGTTTAAAAAACAGTAGACTGTGCTGCCATGTGCATGTATTATGCCAAACAGTGATTGTGGCATTGCTCAGTATTGGATTAAAATATATGTATTTTCACTTTTCACTTGTGCATTGATGAAATATAAAGCAATCTCTTCTTTGAGTGGTCCGTATGTCTTACAAATCTGCAGGCTCAGTATGTAATTAAATAGATATGCAATGATTGTATCAGCGTCCTACTGTCTCTGAACTGACACACTTGATCGCGCAGTTAACGTCCTACTGTCTCTGAACAGATGATAAAACCAGACATGCTAACAATTATTTCCAACCCTGATGTGCAAAACAGACTGCATCCATGCACCACCAAATCCAGCTTTAGATTATAAGAAATTAGTGAATTTATTTTTATTTTTTGATATGAAGAGTGTTTTTGACGACGGTGTGGCATGGCATAGTATGAATGCAGTTTTCTGCTCAAGCTGGTTCTGAAATGCTTATAATTATGTTGGATAAGGGTTCACTGCAAGTAAACAAGATTGAAGTTTTATTGTCCTGATATTATGATACAGTAATCACAACAAAACAAAACAAAATTAATGATAATAATTGGATTTATATAGCGCCTTTCCAGAAGATACAAGGCGCTGAGTGAGAGGAAAGTATATTACTCCAGAAATGTCAAAAAGACAGGATTTTAGTATCTGTACATTACAAGCCCCCCCCCCCCCCCCCCATAGCCTTCAGAATATGATGTTCATGACAGATGCTCCTTCCAGCTGTCAAATGGTAATCAAGGAAAGGCCATTCAAGTGGCTATTTTTAGCATAAACATTATGCCCAAACAGTGCACTTCAGTTATGTAAAACTATTTGGAGAAAGGATTCAATTCAAAACAATAATATTCAATCTTGTTTGCATAGATTCATGAATGTAATGTTCATACATTTTGGTGTACAGTAGGAAGATGTATTGTAGTTGATGCTATGGTGGGTGACATACTGGATTCAGAACTTTCTCTCTGTGTAGTTCAGCAAACCATAAAGCAGTCTTCATTGAAAAATGCTTCAATAATGCTTTATTTTATAAAGATAATTCTCATTACTCATGAACCTTTGAAACAGAAGAAATCTTTCTTTATTCTTTTCATTTTATTTTCTAGTGCTTTTACTGTGCCATGAATTCTTATCATTTTGAAATATGATCGTTACGTGTTCAATCCATTGTTTATTGTGATCGACTTTCATGAGTTCATGAGTTTATGACGAACAGGAGTGTCCATCAGGCTTTCATATTTCACTGAGCGGTAAAAACGAGAGCTTCTGATACTTTACACCGTCTTGGTAGTTCATGACAACATGCAAAAAAGTAATGTTTTCCATTAATGTAAGTAATATGCTGATTTATGATAAGAATGTTTATTCCTTTTAATGGTTCCAAGGTGCAAAGATAAGATATGCAGACTACTTGTCATTTTAATTTTAGTGCTATTCTATCTATGGTAGGAATATATATAATCTTTATGCTTTTCCTGGTTAGTACACCATTGTTGTACTAGAATTATTCTCAAAAGTACTAATGTTTTCCTATGCTGCCTCTCTAGAATTTCCATATTATTGTTTGGGAGTATAATGTTTGATTTATCTCTTTGTTTTAAAAGTATTTTCAGCGTGATCACAAAGACATTCAAGAAATCAGCCCAAGAAAATCAAAACGACCTAGTGCATCCTGTATGTGCAAACATTACAATGACATTATTCAATCATAATTTCTATGGGCAGTACATTAGGGTGCTGAAATTGCCCTTGAATTTATTTCTTGAAAGTTTTTGCAACTATTAGGCGGGAATCAAATGATTAATTGTGATATTTTGTAGATATAGAATAAACTGATGTGTAATGTTCTCCTGCAACCAGAAGTAGTCCCACCGACCGGACCAAAACCAACAAAATTACACCAAATGGCCAAGAAAAGGCTGGTTAAGAGTCGGTTTGGCGGTATGACTGAGGTATTATGGGACTTATTTCATATTGTTGTTAATGTAAGTGGGAATACAGATGGTCCTCCCCCGTATCCTTCTTTCCTCCTCCTTTACAATGTTTTCCATTGGTTCTAAAGATACCTTGTATAAATAGAGAAATTATTTGAAATTTAAAAATGGCTGGACCAATCAGCAGAAAGTGTATGGTAATTGATTGCTTCCACAAGATAATGCAGAATGGTGAATGGTGAAATGTTTTTCTTTTCTTTTTTTAAAGCATCTATTTCGTGCAAGCTTTTGCTGTTGTATTGAATGTCATCACAAATCATGTTTTTGCTATATAAAACAAAATTAAATAAACCACAAAAGTGTTTGTTACATATGGCTGGCTTATCTTTTTGTCGTCATGATAAATATTTGCTTTATTATCCAGATCGAATTGTGGAGAGGTGAGAATGGTCAGACGTGTATTTTGAAAGGTTGAAGTTTTCTCTCTCGCTCTCTCTCTGTCAACATATTAATGGCATATAAACTGCTACATTTGCGTTAGTGATTGATTTTTGACTGCCATAAATATATGAGTATACTATATGATACTAAATTTGCATTTCGCTAAATTCGCTTTTGACAATTAGGATGTCCATGTGTATTGATGAATGCGTGGTAAGTGAGGTGGGAAGGATGGGAGGGAGGCAGGCAGGGGCGAGAGAGGGAGAGAGAAAGATAGTATGCAGAGAGAGACACATACAAACAGAATTGGAAAATGAGATTAAAGAGAAAACTGAGAAAGAGAGAGAGAGAGAGAAAGAAAGGAAGAGTCGGATTGAAGTAAGCTAGAAAAAGATGGGGAGAAAGCAGAAAAATGAGTGAAAGTAACCAAGTGACATGAGAGGGAGCTATGCAAAAATTACGAACTCCCCTAATCAATCTCCTTGCATGAAAACACATGAACTTGGCCTAGCCAGCTTTATATTCTCGACTAAATTGAATTAATTCAGCACTTTTTTAACAACCAAAATGTCAAGTCAAAGAATGCAATGACAGATTTCTTGAATATATATTAGACAAGACAATTAAATAGAAGAGAAAGAAAAAACAGGAAATTACCTTGAGTTTGTTTGGATCAACAATACCGAAACATTGATATAGGTAGATATCCAACGATACAGGATCATGTGACACTTATGACACTGATTTTGAACTTAATCTTGTGCCGTGTCAGCTGACTCAGATGTGATAACCCGAAGCACTTAGACCTACTCAAAATAAAATAAACCGAGCTTTAGACCCACTTTGCATTGCCCTACAAATCTCTTGAAGTACCGGTATGCCTATTCATTTGGTCACTGGCCCGTAAAACTAATATCTATTGTGTGATCTGAGGTCACAATTTTACTTACATTGACAC